CAGCAATCCCTGCCTTTTCCTCCCAGTTTGCTAAGAAAAATTCTGACCCTGCTTCTCAGGATTATTCTTTCCATGGTGGGTCTAATTCAGATTGACATTAGGAAGAAAGGGCGAGATGGAAAGAGGAGCTTCACAGTGGAAAGGCCTCCAGGTTTACTGAGGACTGACTGTAAGAAGTAGGGGGAGATAAATGGGAAAAAAAAGTCCCCTTGGATACGAGTTCTCAGTGAGTATGGCTGGAGAGTTGGGAGCAGGACTGAAGAGTGAGTCTTCTGGAGCAGGCAGGAGAGGCCAAGCAAGAGAAATCAGGTGTGACGACTTCCCAAATGTGGGGCTGAGGGTTGTCAATTAGACCTCTACATATCCTTTAGGAGACGCAAGTAAAAAGTATAGTGACTTTTAAATGTTTCTGGATCGTGGGACCGTGTTTCTTATAAGAAAACCTTGCCTTGAGGCTGGCTGTACTCTGAAGGGCCTGACTCCTATTAAAGTTACACGGCGAAACCTTGAGTTTGGGGTGCAAAGCTGAGTGCTAGGTCCCTTTAACGTTTACAATATCGCAATGAGGCGGCTTCAGTTTCTGAACTGAACCCGCTGGAGGTAAATTGATTCCACTTCTCTGAAAGCTAGCTTGAATGTGGTGACGGTTCTCTCCATTCTTCTCAAGACAGCATATCAGGGGTGAAAACTGGCTTTGAGACACCCTGGGTGATCACACGAAACACCTAATAATGGACAAAGAAAACAGCGATGTTTCAGCCACACCTGCTGAGCTGAAAGTAAGTACAGGGTGAGAAACTTTCTCTCTTACTTGAATGCCATTTATTGTTGACCTTGTTAGTAAAATGAGATTATATGACCTTATAAAAATAAACAATGATAAAATATTTTATCTTCTTATGTTACTTAATGGGTTTTACAAATGTGAGCTTAATATAAAGTGCTGTACTCAACAATTGATTTGCAGCTATTTTTCTAAAACTCGAGGGAAATGGTACTGGTCTCTACACAAATTCCACTTTAAAATTTAATCAGTGCTAACTGAGACTGCCTATAATGTGTTTCTGCACTTAAAGCTCCAACGTTGGCCTTGTCAGTTCATGTACTTACATTTGTACGTGTTTCTTTCTTTTACTTCTTTTGGGGCAGTGCTTGAAAGTAGCTTGACACCATCGTCAACTCATTCTACAGTGGAAAGTTTCTCTCTTTAGAAACCCCGTTCTCATTCCTGCAGGACACCACCTTAAATGATGTCTGGTGTCGTTCAGTTTCACCAGAAAGGATACAAGCGACATTTCACTCCAGGGGTTGACGAGGTGTTTGGCAAAAAGAATGAGGGAGCCATGAATAATTCAGAGTGTTCGTGGCCACATATTATTTCATTAATTGGCAGGATTAAAGACTGGAAGGCATGACTTTTGAAGAGAAGAGTGAGGGAAAGGAAAAACAGAAGGAGAGGACTCTTAAGGATAGTGCAAATGGGAGATGGTTTCTTTGGAACTGGTATTCCCTATTATTGCCTTTAAGAGAATGTGTGGTTAAAAGCTATATCATCTCCGGAGTTTAGTTACCCTGGCGTGTGTAAATCTCTCCTTAAAAGAAGCTAAACTCTTGAATACATTATTAAAGAATTCACAGCATCAAATAGCAGAGGGTAGACAAGAAAATAAAAGAGGAAGAAGGGAAACAGTTAAATAATGTATTTTTCACTCTTGCACATAACACTATGCACATCAACACACTTCAACAATTTTCAAATCGATTGAGTCTTCTATTTCATTCTTTGATTTACTTTTAAATAATTCTTTCATTTACAATTGAGAAACTGAGTCACTAATTAGGTCAGTGGCTGGCAATGGTAAAACAAACATATTTAACTCCTATCCTACAACCCTAAGAAAATTATCATGTAACTTTTACTTTTCTTCCTACCACAGTCATGAAGCTGTAACTAGGAAATAAATTCATTTCTGTGGGGAGCTCACTTATCTTCTTATTTTCAATACTACATCAGCCCAGAAATAATAGATTCGGAGAGAAAAGCACTATAATACAAATATGTGAAACACACTTACACAAAAAGGACTGTGGTCAGGCATGGTGGCTCACGCCTATAATTCCAGCATTTTGGGAGGCTGAGGCGGACAGATCACTGAGGTCAAGAGTTCAAGACCAGCCTGACCAACATGACGAAACCCCGTCTTTACTACACATACAGGATTATCTGGCAGGTGCCTGTAATCCCAGCTACTTGGGAGGCTGAGGCAGGAGAATTGCTGGAACCCAGGAGGCAGAGGCTGCACTGAGCCAAGATCACGCCATTGCGCTCCAGCCTGGGCAACAAGAGTGAAATTCTGTCTCAAAAAAAAAAAAAAAAAAAAAGAATCTGTACACACATGGATCTACCCACATAGAATCTTAACCTTAATCTCTTAGCCTTCAAATCCTCTAGTCTACTTTACCCCATGAAATTTTTTTTTCTTCTTCTTCTTCTTTTTTTTTTTTTATTTATTGCATTTTAGGTTTTGGGGTACATGTGATGAACATGCAAGATTGTTGCATAGGTACACACTTGGCAGTGTGGTTTGCTGCCTTCCATCCCCTCACCTGTATCTGTCATTTCTCCCCATGCTATCTCTTCCCACCTCCCCACCCTCCCGCCCCTCCCCCATTTCCCCCCAACGGACCCCAGTGTGTAGTGCTCCCCTCCCTGTGTCCATGTGTTCTCATTGTTCCACACCCGCCTATGAGTGAGAATATACGGTGTTTGATTTTCTGCTCTTGTGTCAGTTTGCTGAGAATGATGGTTTCCAGGTTCATCCATGTCCCTACAAAGGACGTGAACTCATCGTTTTTGATGGCTGCGTAATATTCCATGGTGTATATGTACCACATTTTCCCTATCCAGTCTATCATCGTTGGGCATTTGGGTTGGTTCCAGGTCTTTGCTATTGTAAACAGTGCTGCAATGAACATTCGTGTGCACGTGTCCTTATAGTAGAGCGATTTATAATCCTTTGGATATATACCCAGTAATGGGATTGCTGGGTCAAATGGGATTTCTATTTTTAGGTCCTTGAGGAATCGCCACACTGTCTTCCACAATGGTTACCCCAGGAAATTCAGGCCTCTCCTCCACAGCATCTCTTCAACCGAGTTGGAGAGTCAAGAAAAGAACCTGGAGACCATTTCACTAGGGCTTGTGTATAGTCATGTCTAGTTTATCTGGTCTTCGTTTTGTGACTTGGTGCAAATCAACTTATTATACTTAATAATTTGATATACTTACATAAGTAAGAATGCTTCGTTATATTTAGGCCTTTTAGCACCAACATCTCCTGACTGGGTAGTTTCATTTAAGCTTTAGACTACTTCTACTTGGTACTACATCTTTTTTTTTTTTTTTTTAAGATATCCAATATCTCAGTCCAAGTGGTCAGTGCCCAAAAGAAGCTGCCAGGGAGACGACCACCATTGCCAGGAAGACGACCACTGCAAAAACCCGTTGGCAAATCCAAACCCATAAAGCAATCCAAGAAAAAAGTTCCCTTTTGGAATGTACAAAATAAGATCATTCTCTTCACGGTATTTTTATTCATCCTAGCAGTCACAGCCTGGACACTTCTGTGGCTCTATATCAGTAAGTTAAAAATCTGTGTTTCTTTGGGGTTAGGGCTTATGGTGTGAATCTAGCATTAGCAATGCAGGCCTAACATAGGTGTTTCTGATAGGATTTTCCTCTTTCCAAGATGGATGCACCATTTCCAAAACTGGTGTTGATGGGTTTTTGTTATTTTGTTTTGAGACAGTGTCTTGCTGTGTCGCCCAGGCTGGAATGGAGTGACACAGTCACAGCTCTCTGCAACCTTGAACTCCTGGGCTCAAGCAGTCCTGCTGCCTCAGCCTCCTGAGTAGCTGAGACCACAGGGACATGCCACCACATCTGGGCTAATTTTTAAAATTTGTTGTAGAGACAGAGGTCTCACTATGATGCCGAGCCTGGTCTCAAACTCCTGTACTCAAGCAATCCTCCCACCTTGGCCTTCCAAAGTGCTACATGTGTGAACCATGGCACCCAGCCTGGTGTTGATGTTTTAGGGAGACATAAAGTAGAATTATCGTTCTCATTTCTTTTTTTACCAACACTACTCTTCTCCAGGAGGAGACTGACGATAGGATGGGAAGAGCTGAGAGTGATGCTCAGGAGATTTTGACTGGTTCAGAAATGTAATGCATTTGTAGCTTTAAAAAAAAATTAATGGAATGCTAAGCTGTTTCATTTCCTCATTCCACCCACCACTTGTTTCTAGGCAACCTTGAATTTCCAGCTCCCTGAGCTCCATTTTGCACATGCATCTTTCTCTCCTCTGTTATTATGTGTTTGTTGATCTGACTGATCCATTTGGATGGGTGTCATAACTAAGCCCTTTCCTATAGAGTTCTTACTTATGCAACACAGTAAGAATAGCCTTTGTTGACTTGTATTAGAGTTGCCATCCTATACATGTTAATATATTTGATACAAAATACATGCACCATGACATAATGTGAAATACATGTAGTTATTCTGTGCCCCAGATTTCTGACTCAGGGCTTCTAGCACTCTGGAACTTCCTGAATGATAGGAAGGATAGGAGCATCTTTTGTTTTATATACATACATTTTGTTATAATAACTGATCTTAGTCCCCAGTTCCTAACACAGAGCTTCTAAGAATGTCTTTTTACATGTTACTGACTGGTGGCTGAAAGCCCCTAGGTAACCAGAGAAACCAACTACATGCTTAGAGAATTATAACTTTCAGGAGGGACTGAAGATTGAGCTCAATCACAAACGGCCAGTGATCTGAAATTGACCTCCATAAAAACCCTAAATGCGGGGTTTAAGGAGCTTCCAGGTTGGTGACCATATCCAATTGCTGGGAGGGTGGCATGCGCCACCTCCACAGGGACAGAAGCTCCTGCTCTAGAGCCCTTCTGGACCTCACCCTAGGCACTTCTTCATCTGGCTGCTCATTTGTATCCTTTATAATAAAGAAGTAATAGTAAGTAAAGTGTTTCTTTGAGTTCTGAGAGTCTAGAGCAAATTATGAAACCTCAGGGCTATATGAGAACAGCCAATCTGTAGCCAATTTGGACAGCAGTGTGGGTAGCCTGGGGACCTGATAGCATCTGCAGTGGAAAGTGGTCTCGTGGGAATGAGCCTTTGGGATCTGACACGAACTCTTGGTAGCTGGTGTCAGAATTGAATTGAATCATTGGACATCCAGTTGGTGTCTGCAAATAATCGGAGAATTGCTTGGTGTGGGAACCCCCAGTCCCTGCTACATTTGGTGACAGAAGTGTTATGAGTAGAGAAACAGTTTTCCTAGATGTGCTTTCAGAGATATGACAATCTGATTGGAAGGGAAGATTTGTAGGCAAAGAATGAATGAATATTTTCTTGGATAGTTCAGGTCACTTACATGCATAAATGGATAACCTGTGATTTTCTTGGCAGAATGTAGGGAATCAGACACACCACAATGCATCTCCTACCTTCAGAAAGCTCATGGATTTTCTTTATTTTATTTATTTATTTATTTTTGAGACAGTCCAGCTCTGTCACCAGGCTGGAGTGCAGTGGTGTGATCTCGGCTCACTGTAACCTCTGCCTCCTGGGTTCAAACGATTCTCTTGCCTCAGTCTTCAGAGTAGCTGGGACTAAAGGTGCATGCCACCATGCCCAGCTAATTTTTGTATGTTTAGTATAGACGGGGTTTCACCGTGTTGGCCAGGATGGTCTCAATCTCTTGACATCATGATCTGCCTGCCTCGGCCTCCCAAAATGCTGGGATTACAGGTGTGAGCCACCTCACCCAGCCCACAGATGAATTTTCCGCTTTCAAAAAGTTCACAGTTCAGTGCTAGAGAGAGGTGTGAATTGAATTTTTTGCTTCAACTATTAGCTTGTGATCACAGTAGGAGATATCCAAATTGCCCAGGAATGGCATCCAGAAAAGGCTTCAGGAACCAGTTCATGAACATTCATTTGACACATCTTGAGACTGCCCATTATGTGTTGGGTACCGTGGTGGGCATGGGAGCAGAGTGGTGAGCAAGATACAATCTCTGTCCTTGAGGAGACCAGCAGGGAAGTCAAGTCAATGGGTCCTTTAGACAAACACACACAACCCCAACCCAGAACAGAGCAGCTTATAAGCCGTCATTTCTCTGCTGTTCCCCCGCTGACACATTTGCACTGTTCTAACATTTTTATATGAAGTTTTAGAACATTCTCGTGCAGATGTCGTTTGTTGCCTGTGTAAAAATCAGAGAAGGCCACTTACGGGAACAGATCAGTACAAGCAACGGGAGACTGGTATGGACAAGTAAGAGTTTTTCAATAGAAAACTGGTAGTTTTGATACATGAATTTTTCAGTAGAAAACTGGTTAGTTTTGATCCTGGAAGGCACAGAGGGTGGCCTTGAGAAAGGAGGTAGACAGATAAACAGGGAGACCACGGAGCAGGGTGTACAGGCTGAGCTGAGAGTTGGGTAAACGGAATCTGATTTAATGCTAAATTGATCTTCCTTGCATGGTGGCTGTTCTGACTCTAGAGTGTTTACTGATATGAGATGGATGTGTGAGCTTCTGGAAAGAAATATGAAGCATTTTTCTGGGAAAAAAAGAACAAAAAACGAAAAGCAACGGCAACTGTTGTTGTATATGGTAGGCCTAGAGGCAAGGTGGCCAGTCCAAGTTCACGTTACCTGAAAAAACAAATCAAGGACAGGAGTTCAAGCCCACCCTCCACCCCCCACCTTACCCTGAGCTGCCTGCTCCCCTCCCCAGCCTCCCTACACTTCCTGGGGCTAAAGTGACCTTGGATGGATCTTACAAGGGAAGCTGTTTTCTATCGCTCACAGATGTTGCAACTTCTTTTTAATTTAGCCATCATTTATCTAGCATTTCCATGTGCTGGGCCTTGTGCTGAGTGGGAATGCTCGCGCTCTCGCTCTCTCTTGCTCTCTCTCTCTCTCTCTCTCTTTCTTTCTCTCTCTCTTTCTTTCTCTCACTCCCCCTCTACCCACTTTGTCCCTCCCTTCCTTCCCTCAAATGTTTACTGAACTTCAAAGCAAAGCCAGGTACTGCCTACAGGAGAGGATGAGGAATCAAAATAAATTACTGTTTATTCCTTCAGAGAGCCCATAAAGGAGACAGACAGGGAGAAATTATGATAAAGTGGGGTATATATGGGCCACAAAAAAGTAACCCACAGGGGCCATGAGATCCTTTTAATCTTGCTCGTAAGTATTTGCCAGAGTAGATCGAAGGAATATGCTGAGATATGGTTATTTGCTGCTGATGAAATGGATGTTGTTTACTAAATTTAGAACTTCACAGGCTCTAAGCAAGTTAGATGTGTAGCTGCCTAAAATAAAATTATTTTGGGAGCCTCATACTGACATAGCTCAGACAATTCCTTACTGACACACAGGTGGCAAAGCCTCCCAATCACGTTCTCTCCTATTTTACAGGTAAGACAGAAAGCAAAGACGCTTTTTACTTTGCTGGGATGTTTCGCATCACCAACATTGAATTTCTTCCTGAATACCGACAAAAGGAGTCCAGGGAATTTCTTTCTGTGGCACGGACTGTGCAGCAAGTGGTGAGGTGATGGGGGCAGCAGGGGTTAGAGTGGGTTTGGGGGGCAGCGGGGGATGAAGCTGGAGGGGACCACAGGTGTCACAGGTGAGCAGGGTTTAGGGAAGTAGAGGGCAGGGTAGACAAAGGAAGCTGTCAGAGGAAAACATGAAATTTAGCTCATCTCGGCTATAAGATAAAATTTCTCCCTCTGCCCCCATGCTCCAATGTGAAAAACGAACAAAGCTCACTCAGTTTCCTTTATTTTATCCATAAAATAAAGGAATTGGAATCAGATGACCTTTAAAGTACCTTCCAGTTCTGAAGTTACATGCATACCAATTAATTCCATCGTTGTACACATTTATTTCAACCTTGATGCACTGGAAATCTCTTCATGGTAAAAAATAAATAAATAAATAACTTTCTCATTATAGAACTAATAAGTATTTATTACAAAAATTAGCAAAATTCAGAGGATTGTGTTTTCAAAACTGCTATCTTCTTTCATGTTATCACCAGAGATAAAGCTTTTTTTTAATCTGGAATACATAAACATAGCAAATAGTGCAATATTGGGATATTATATTCAGTTTTATAAACTAGTATTTTCTCTTAACATGCTATTGCGTGCTTCTGTACAAGTAAATCTTCCTTTAAAAATGTAAGTTACAATAGCTTCAAAGTTAGCAAATCCCTATTTATTGGTAATGTTTAGCCTGTTTCCAGTCTTTGCCATAGATAATGTGACGGTGAAACTGCCTCATTACTTGTGAGTATCTCTGATTACTCTCTTAGGTGGTTTCCTAAAAGTATAATTACTTGACCAAATAGAAAAGTATCTATTCATGGCTCTTGGCACATATCACCAACTAGAAGGTTGCTGTCAATTTGTATTTCCACAGTACTGCAGGGGGTTGTCACAGTGATGACCTTGACACAATGACTGGCTGTGTAGAATGAGGAAAGGTGGTGAGACAGAGGGAAAATCAAAGACAGTAGTGCTCAGAGTAGCTTTTGCTTATGGAGTGCTTTCTATATGCTGTGGTGCAAACATCACAGAGCGTATGTACACAGACGTGGCTGGAATGGCTTACTACACACCCAGGCTAGATGGTATAGACTACTGCTCCTAAGCCACAAACCTGGACGGTCATGTCACTGTACTGAACAGTATAGGCGATTGTGACACAAATCACTAGACAGTAGGAGTTGCTCAGCTCCGTCATAATCCTATGGGACTACCGTCATATATGTGGTCTTTCACTGACCAAAATGTCATGTGGCATATGACTGTATACCAATTATTTCTCAAATTATCCCAAAGAGGTGGGTGTTTTGATTACCGCTTCATAGGTGAAAAAGGAAAAGAAAACAGCAACAAAGAAGGCTAAACAGGTTTAGAGAACATGTTCTGTGTTACACAGTGAATTTAAACTCTGCAGCTCATAAAGTTTCCGCTACACTTTGTAATTTCTTTTTTTTTTTTTTTTTTTTTTTGAGACGGAGTTTCACTCTTGTTACCCAGGCTGGAGTGCAATGGCGCCATCTCGGCTCACCGCAACCTCTGCATCCTGGGTTCAGGCAATTCTCCTGCCTCAGCCTCCTGAGTAGCTGGGATTACAGGCACGCACCACCATGCCCAGCTGACTTTTTGTATTTTTAGTAGAGACGGGGTTTCACCATGTTGACCAGGATGGTCTCGATCTCTTGACCTCGTGATCCACCCGCCTCGGCCTCCCAAAGTGCTGGGATTACAGGCTTGAGCCACCGCGCCCGGCTACACTTCGTAATTTCTAAGGGTTAAAAACAATTGTTTTTTAAATCATGGGCAATTATGCAGGTGGTTTCAAATTATGTAGGAAGGGGAATACCAGAGAAGATGACTTGGGAGAAGAGAGTGAGTTTGGTTTTTAGAAATGCTGGATGAGGGCCAAGGAGGTAAATCAATTGAACTAGAGCTCTGCTTTGAGATCAAATGATGAAGTTTTAAAAGGTCCTTCCCTAGAGTGTTCTGAAGGAGGCTGGTAGACTTGGCTGTGGGTACCACTCGCCCCCTAGTGGCTAATATGGGAATGTGTCCATATAGTCAACGCTGGTGCGCTGATAGAAAAGACGTTAGGTTAGACACTACTATGAAAATGTGCTTAAATGAGTTTGATTTGTTAACTGTGGAGAAAACTAACGTCTGGAATGGGAATAATGCAGAAGTTAAGCTTGAGTTTAAAGAGAGCAATAAATGATTGAAGGTCACTGATTCTTCACAGATAGCAGAATAAAAGTAAGTCACCCAAGATTTTTGCAGGAAGCAAGAATTTATTCGAATTGAATAAATAATGTCTGGTGTAGCATTAGGGGCCCTTATTTTGAGGATCGCACTTCTCCTTGTTGACTGTCAGAGCTTGGGCCTACCACATTTAAGATACTGTAAAAGGAAGCCAAGTATGAAATACTTCAGGTACCTCAACTATTCTTTTTCAGATAAACCTGATTTATACAACATCTGCCTTCTCCAGATTTTATGAGCAGTCCATTGTTGCAGATGTCAGGTAATGCATGTCCCTCATTTTGGGATTTCCATGTTCATTGCTTTAAATTCCATTCAAAGCTATGAAAAGGCTGAGATTCCACCATTCCCAAGTAGCTTCTTGGGGGTGTTTGGGATTCATGCTGTATTGGCACAACTGTGACCCAACTCATTGCCCGGCTTTCATGCTGTGTTTTTGCTCTTTATCTACCAAATTCCTACTTTCTCCCCACAGCTAGAATCCCAGACCACTATAGCAGCGCTGCTGTGCAAAATGGCCATAAACGTGGCTGTCATACTGGGTAGAGGGTGGAGGCAAAAATAAAGCACAGACCACGATTTCTTAATGTTCAGTGAAAAACTGGTCACTAGCGATCTTCTGAGAAAAAAGAGGTTTTGTGGTCAAATAATTTTTAGAAAAGATTGTATATTATATTATATCCCACCCCACCCACTCCCAATATATCTGCAGAGAGTCACAATCCACTTTGACATATAAAAACTCTGACAAGTCTTGGAGTAAAGCAACTCGATTAATTTCCTTAACCTTCCATTTCCCAGGTCATTTACTGCAGAACACCATCTTCTGTTCCTTTCATAAAACATGGCAGTGTTTATGCCATTAGGAGCTCAGGCTCCGGGATCAGACTACAAATCAGATTGGGCTTAATTACTGGATCTGCTACGAGCTCTGTGTCTTGGAGTTGTACTTGGCCTCAGTTTCCTTCTATAAAACTGGAATGATAATAGGACCTTCTCATTAGATTAACTGGAATAAAGCAGATTTAGCACAGTGCCCTGACATGGCAGAGTATCAAACATTATAGTGGTTTTATATTTTAATGGCAGTGAATACTGATTGATATCCAGAGAAATAGTATATTCTCCATGGAGATGCAACTATTCAGTAATGGTTTTAGATTTGGATCCAATACAGATGTCTGAATACATATTACATGATGCTGTCCTGTGTCAATCTTGCTAACAGAAGTCAATGACTACCTAAAGAGGGGCACTAGCTTCAGTTGAAGGATGTGCTAACTGGCCTTACCTTGAATCTATCAGCTGGGTACTGGTTCTCCATAAAGGCCTATGAGGTCCCTGACGATCTCTCTTTTTTCGTTATAGTAGCAACAACAAGGGTGGCCTCCTTGTCCACTTTTGGATTGTGTTTGTCATGCCACGTGCCAAAGGCCACATCTTCTGTGAAGACTGTGTGGCCGCCATCTTGAAGGATTCCATCCAGACAAGCATCATAAATCGGACCTCCGTGGGGAGCTTGCAGGGTCTGGCTGTGGACATGGACTCTGTGGTTCTAAATGGTGATTGTTGGGTAATTCTCCTTTAGCATTCCTTCCTGCAGCACTCCTGTTACTTGCCATGATTGTGGTCAACATTGTAACGAAGCATTATCTCCCACAATCCCAGTAGTGCAGGATTAACTAAAGACATTGGAGCTATGTTAGTAAAGGAAATTGCTAAAAGTCGTATACAGCGATTGAACAATAGTTTTGGAAACAACATATCCATGAATTTGAATTTGTTACTGTATACCTCTACCTACCTTTAGTCAGGTCATGATCGTCAAACTAAGTTCCCAGAGAGCAAAGTCCTAGGCAAGGAAGAATTTTGCTGAGGCTTATCTTGTTACTTTACTTGCCCAGACAGAACTGTACCTCTATGTAATGCTGCCCAGCCCTCCAAAACAGCTTGCTTCATAGCCCCAAATGCAAATGTCATTGTTTGCCTTGATAGTAAAATGGTTTAATTGTTGCATAACTCAAAATTTATGCAGTTTTCTCTTTTGATTTAAATTTTATATAAAAATACACATGAATACATGTTATAAACACATTATAAATGTATGTGTATATATACATCTATAAATATAAGTACATATACTTAGGATATAGATACTTACATATATGTTATCTATATAGGTATATATATTATATATATACACACATACACTAGGCATATGGTAGGTGGCTGATAAATATTTGTTAAATAAATGAGAAATCTTTAGAAAATTCTGTATCCCATGTAGTATTTCATATATAGGACTAATATCATATTTGTTCAGTGCTTTTTAACCTTTGAAACGATTTGAAGCTTGCAACTACAATTTCAAGGATACAAAGGTGAAGAGAATAGCATAGTGAACTCCATACCCTTTATTCAGCTTCGACAGCTCTCAACTCACGACTGTTCTATTTGGTCTCTAAATACCTAAACAACTACCCCATCCTCGCTGGATTATTTTAGAGTAAATCCCAGATGTATTTGATTTCTTTTAAAGAAGGGCTGAAAATAATTTTTACTAAGCAAAATTCTAACAAAATGAAATGACGGGATTCACAGTCTTTTCTCTGTGTACTTTTTCAATGCAGCTGGGCTTCGGTCGGATTACTCGTCAACCATAGGATCTGGTAAATTCTTTCATGTGGTTCCCCTCCCCCCAGGTTAATACTGTTTTTGGCTGTAATTTTCCTTTTCTAAGGGTGGTATTTGCTATTGCTTTTTAAATTGCAAGTGACGGAAACACATTTAAACTGGCTTAAGCACAAAAGAAGCTTGACTGGTTCATGTAAGTGGGACATACGTGGAGCGTGCTGGCGTTAGTCATGGTTGAGCCTAGGATCTAAAATAAAAATCGCATCGGAACTCTGCATCTCCGCCTCCTTCTGCGGGGGCTTCATTATCAAGTGTGCTCTTCCATTGTGGTTGCAAAAAGGACCACCAAGCAGATCGAAACTTATAATTTATCACTTTCTCAACCATGGTGAAAACACCTCCAGGTGTATCATGACTGCTCTTGCAGAAGTCCTGGGGCTGACACGCCTTGTCGGAATCGGCTGACAGGCCTATTCTTGAAATGACTTCGCCTCTGATTGGCCAGCCTGGGTTATGGGCCCACCTCTGAAACTAGGGGTGAGTTTAACCCCAACCAAAATATATAGACAGGGTAAGGGTAGTTGTTAAAGACAAAATCCAAGGCTGTTGCCGGAAGACAGGGAAATGGACCGACGCTGGCAAAGGCAGCCTATGTACTTCACATGACCTCTTTTGCTCTTCACTTTCTCTGTAAAGATTTCTAGAAAAGTCTTTGCTAAAAAAAAAGAAAAGAAAGAAAAATGGTGCTGTCTCCACAGACAAAGGCTGCTCTCGGTACTTCTATGCAGAGCATCTGTCTCTCCACTACCCGCTGGAGATTTCTTCAACCTCAGGGAGGCTGATGTGTCACTTCAAGCTGGTGGCCATCATGGGCTACCTGATTCGCCTCTCAATCAAGTCCATTCAAATCGAAGCCGACAACTGTGTCACTGACTCCCTGACCATTTACGACTCCCTCTTGCCAATCCGGAGCAGCATCTTGTACAGGTACGATGCAGGCACTCTTCTTGGTGGGTAAAAAGATTTTTTACAACCTCTGTTTTACAGTGTCTGTGTTCCCCCTGGATTTTTTGTTTTAAACAGTTTTTTGTGTGCACTCGTGAGGTCAAAGACTGACCTACTTAGTAACCGTTATACTTCAGTACCCTCGCCATAGCCTGTCAGATTCAATGTTTGTTTTCCACTTGTAGCAGATGCTTTCAAAGTCAGTACAGCAAGAACTTCAACCAATATACCTGAAATATAACAGATACTTTAATTTTACATTTACTGAAATAACAGTGTAAGAATAAATATCCTATGATGATTGCATTGCATTAGTAAACAAATTTTTTTCTAGTTACGAAGATAACTCGTTTATTGTAGAAAATTAGGCTAGCGGAAACAGTATCAATTGCTTCACAATCTCGTTATTCAGAACAAATTTCTGTTATCTTTTAGCATAAATCTTTTCATTCATGTATATGTAATTACACACACATATACATACCCTAGTATCTTTTACTTAATAGATATTTATTTATGAGTGCTTAATATTTGATAAGCTGATAATGAATTAGGCTTTATGAAATTATTTATTACTCACTGTGCTAAAAAGGTACATAAATTATCTTATTATTTTTGACAGTGTCTATGGATGCATGTAATAATGGTTTATGTGTGTGTGTAGGTATTTATATTTTGGTGATGAATGTGAATGTTAAAAATTCAAACACAATAGAAGGATATGTAGTGAAAAGTAAGTTTGCCACTGTTGCCCATTACTCCATCAATTTCAGCTTATTTTCATCCTTTCAGACCTATTTAGATATCTCATTTAATCCTCAGCACAATGCTGCAAGGAGCATACTATTATTATTACTACCGAGGCAGGAGAATAGGGTCTGGAGGCAGGGAACTTAAGGCCAATTTGTGCTGACTTCCTAAAGCTGATTCAAGGGAAATACCAAGACCAGGCGTGGGGGTAGGGAACTTAAGACCAATTAACCAATAAACGCAAACCTCCTAAAGCTAAGCCGAAAGGAAAAGCCCTATCACCCCGCAGCCTTCCTGCTTCCACCACAGCTCAGCGAGAGGGAAAGCACCCTGGACTGGCCTCAGGCCAAGCACCACCGTCCCTTTATCTGCAGGCAGTGCCAGTTCACCTCAGCCTTTAATTAGCCGTGGACCAAATCCTTCATCCAGGTAAGGGGTCGCTGTTAGGGACCTCACAAGGAGTGCTTAAAACCCAGAAAACTTTGTAACTGAGTCTGTGAGCTGCTTGCTCTGGTCCACTCCCACCTTGTGGAGTGCTTTAATAAATCCCTACTTTCCTTTCTGGTTTCTGTGTTTCAGTCCTTTGTTACTTTGTGCGTTTTGTTCAATTCCTTTTTTTTTTTTTTTTCCTTTTTAAACATCGTCTTGCTTGGTCACCAGGCTGGAGTGCAGTGGCGCAATCTTGGCTCACTGCAACCTCTGCCTCCCGGGTTCAAGCGATTTTCCTGCCTCGGCCTCCTGAGTAGCTGGGATTACAGGCATGTACCACCACACCCAGTAGTGGTGTTTAGAAGAGATGGGGTTTCATTCACCATGTTGGCCAGAATGGTCCCTATCTCTTGACCTCGTGATCCATCCCCCTTGGCCTCCCAACATGCTAGGATTACAGGCGTAAGCCACCACGCCCAGTCTCAATTCTTTTTTTAAAATGCCAAGGACCTGGGCAACTCACATGGCCTCCCTTCTGGTAACGCTACTATTGCATAGGAGAGAAACTGGTGCTAACAAAGATTTAAGCCCCACGCCTTGCATCCATTTAAGTGATGGAGCTGAATTGTGAATCCAGTTTTCCTTAGGGCAGAGTCTAGGACCTTAGCCATTAGAAACATGACTTTTCTACCATATTTCCGCTCAAGGAGCGTCCAGTGACAGCCATCCCAGATAATTCTCTGGTAGAGGTTCCTACACAGAAATGTGTCTACGTTTTCCGGCTCTGTAGCACCCTGTGGCTGCTAATGGATGAGGATCTGGTTGGGGGAGACTCCCAAGAATTGAGTGAATGGATTGAATGGATGACCCAGGAAATGTGTGGAATCATTTTGAATGGAGACCCATTCCTTGAACAGGAAACCCATTTCTCAAATAACGTACTATTCATGTACTTCTGTTTTATTATCTGCTTTCAGAATTTGTGAACCCACAAGAACATTAATGTCGTTTGTTTCTACAAATAATCTCATGTTGGTGACATTTAAGTCTCCTCATATACGGAGGCTCTCAGGAATCCGGGCATATTTTGAGGTCATTCCAGAACAAAGTAAGTCTTCTCCAATTACAGAGATGTCACTTTTAGAAATATTTGTTATGAAAGCCTATTCCTATCTTTCTGGAGGCTGTGCTGGGACTCTGAATAAGGGTCCAGTCAGAAGAGACCATATTAGTTAATTTTGAAAGGATGAATTAAATAAGAACTATCAACTTAGTATAAAGGTGTTAATAAAGTTACTCAAAAGGCAAAAAGGGCATGAAGAGAAATGTAAGGTATCATGGATGTAACACGTGCAGGAAGCAACTGTCATCCCTAGGGCTGGGTGAACAAAGGAAAGAGGTTGAGATTATTATAGTTTAGAGCTTAGAGGAAGGAATATGTGGGATGAAACTCAGGCCTATGAGGAGGGGTTGCTGGTCAGCTGTTGCTGGTGTCACTGAGTTCAGAACTATGTTTTCATTTTATTTTATTAATTTATTCAATGTATTATCAGTCATAATTTCATTTTATTTCCTTTATTTCTTTCTCTCTTTTTTGCGATGGAGTCTTGCTCTGTCACCAGACTGGAGTGCAGTGGCATGATCTCTGCTCACTGCAATCTCTGTCTTCTGGATTCAAGGGATTCTCCTGGATCAGCCTCCTGAGTAGCTGGGACTTCAGGCACTCGCTACCATGCCCAGCTAATTTTTTGTATTTTTAGTAGAGACGAGGTTTCACCATGTTGGCCAGGATGGTCTCGATCTCTTGACCTCATGATCCGCCCGCCTCGGCCTCCCAAAGTGTTGAGATCACAGGCGTGAGCCACCGACCCACCTCAGAACTATGTTTTTAAAGAAAGTAATAGCATCCTGCGGATCTGCAGCTAAAACATATGATTTGAAAACAAATACAGAATTTGAGAATAAGTATTTTAGCTATATATCTGTAGGGTGCTATCTCTTTCTTCTGAAGAAAAAAACCCCCAAAGTTCAAGAAATGTATAAAGCTTGTTGATGAAGGAAGTGTGCATTAGTAATAAAATAAATGTATGAAGCGTATTTTTCCATAATCGCACAGCTGCGAGTCATTGTGTGTCACTGGGTATCTTTTTCAGGGTGTGAAAACACAGTGTTGGTGAAAGAAATAACTGGCTTTGAAGGGAAGATTTCAAGTCCATATTACCCGAGCTACTATCCTCCAAAATGCAAGTGCACCTGGAAATTTCAGGTAGCCGAGTTTTACCAGTGACTTAGAAAAATATTACTGCTCTATTTTTAATACTGTGAATTTCATTACATTAATTTTTTAATTATAAAAAGAATATTGCTTAATTTTATAAAATTTTGGTATTATTGAAATACATTATTTACAATACAACACTTTTCTGTAATTTCAACCCTCTGCTGGTAAATGTCCTGCTCTTGGCATACTGGGGCTTGTGTCTCAGATTAATTTTATTTGTATGAAAATGCAAAGGCATTGTTGAAGGTTCAAACAATTTTTTTTTTTGAGACGGAGTTTCGCTCTTGTTATCCAGGCTGGAGTGCAATGGCGCGATCTCGGCTCACCGCAACCTCCGCCTCCTGGGTTCAGGCAATTCTCCTGCCTCAGCCTCCTGAGTAGCTGGGATTACAGGCACGTGCCACCATGCCCAGCTAATTTTTTGTATTTTTAGTAGAGACGGGGTTTCACCTTGTTGACCAGGATGGTCTCAATCTCTCGACCTCGTGATCCACCCGTCTCAGCCTCCCAAAGTGCTGGGATTACAGGCTTGAGCCACCGCGCCCGGCCTTCAAACAATTATTTTATTATGATAGAGCACATTTATCAATTCTTAATTACTTCATCACCAGCATTGTAATAGGAATAATAATAAAATTATGAATTGGATTAGGCAGTACAGTTAGCCCTCTGTATCTGCAGGTTTGGTATCTGTGGATTAAACCACATATCAAAAAATTTTACAAACACACTATAAAATACAACAATAAAAATAATGCAAATAAAAGCCAATACAGTATAACAACCATTTATATAGAATATAATTGTATTAGGTATTATAAGTAATCTACAGATGATTTAAAGTATAGGAGAGGATGTGCATAGATTACACGCAAATACTAAACAATTTTATATAAGATACTTCAGTATCTGAGAATTTTGATATCTGTGGGGTTCCTGGAACCAATCCTTCACAGATACCAAGGGACAACTGTATATGTTTCAGTTGTATAAGCAAACCAGAGTGCAAATGTATATGAAGTATCTATCTATCTATCTATCATCTATCTCTCCCTCTGGTGTTAGACAAGGCATTTATGCTTTTTAAAAAAAATCTTAGTAAACTGTTTTTTCTTTTTCCACCTATAATATCACATGGAGACAGGGCAAAGTGTCACCTTTGTTCATTCAGCATATACGTATAAAATCATTATTGTGTGGCGTAGCAATTTAGATGAATTAGATGCAAATGGCAAGCAGCATGTCATTTGCATGTATTCAGTATATTATTGAATGACTGCTATGGGCCAGGCACTCAGGCATGATTCTGGACACTGGGGATCCATGAAATCAGACACACACACACAGAAGCAGCCCTGCTCTCATGGAGCTTACCTTCCAGCATGGGAAGGCAAGTCATAAACAAACAAGATAAATACACGTAATTTGTGTCATAAAGATAAAATGCTATGGAGAAGAGTGAAGTGGGGAAGCGGGCTCTATAGCTTGAGTCGGGGGTGGGAGGTGTGGGGGATAACAAGTTAGGTGTTTGTTACCTTAAATAGGATGCTCAGGGAAAGTCTTGCTGACAAGGGAACATTTGCAGATAAACCTGGAAGATGAGGGAACTCACCTTGTGAATGGGATAAGAATGTTGCAGGCAAAGGGAACAGCTGAGGCAGGGACTCTGAGGCAGGAGTGTGCTTGATGCATATATGTTTATTTGTGCATAGTGATAATCATTCAAATAATTTCATTACTCTACCCAAACCTGTAAGTTGGTGTCAATATCTTGATGGCATGTATCCTTAAATTAAAAAAAAATAACTATTACAAACATTTCCAAAGTGATTAGGAGATAAAGGTGCTGGACCCTTGTTCACTGCCAGATTCTCAAGGCTTCAGGGCAGCAGAAATGCAGGGCCTCAGATGACCAGTGAGTCTGAGGAGGAGAGGGCAAGTTTGTCCTCCTTAGTGGTATTATATATATATATGCAGACTACTCCTTTTTTTGATCACAAAACTAAAAAAATTTAAAGCACTATAAATGATACTCTTATTCAATTAAGAAAGAATTAGAAAGCTTGAAAATAGATGAACCCAATTTAACTCTCTTAAATGTAAAAATTTCTTAAATAATTCCTGGGTGAAAGTGAAAATCAAAACTAAAACTTTATGTCATATCAGACATAACACACATGTATACCACAAAATGCAACAAATAAGTCAGTTGCATGATGACACACACACACACACACACACACACACACACACACACACTGTGTTTGCTCATACACATAGGCAGCTTTCTCTTCTGATGTCTTCCAGGAAGATCTAGGGGTGCCTCACTAACAGCCTTCAGAAACACTGAATTTAATATGAAGAGGATACTGATTCATTTCTCCTTTATCTAAAGAATCTGAATGATGCTTTAAATCAACTGTGTCATTGTGAATATTAAAAGAGGAAAGTGTTTACACTCATTAACAAGTGGGTGTTTTTAACGTTAAATTCACACTAACAGAGAGAAACTGAAACCCAGAGATACTGATATGTCCTAAGTCACCCTGCTCCACTTGGGACCCAGCAGCAGCTCCCTGAATCCGTGGCTGCCTGCTTCCTTCATCACCATGTTGTCTTCCTCATCCTGCTTTGTTCGGGAGAACTGGTTTACTCCACTGTGGGCCACAGAGCACAAGGAGTAGAATGACCTTAAAACAACAAGCCACAGAACTGAGTAAATACATCCTTTGATTGAAGCGTTTTTTCTGACGTAATGTTTGTTTTCACAGACTTCCCTACCAACACTTGGCATAGCACTGAAATTCCATAACTATTCAATAAGCAAGAAGAATATGAAAGGCTGTGAGCATGGATGGTGGGAAATTAATGAGCACATGTAAGTGATTTCCATGTGTTAGGCATCTGATGAAAGGTTCATAGCTGTGTGTTCCTTGTCCTCAAAGAGTTTGCACTTTACCATTTACAGATAGGGAAACTGAGGGATATAGGGGTTATGTAAATTGCTCAAGGCCATGCAGCTCATAAGTAATTGAGGCAGGATTCACACCCATGTCTTAGGGCTCCTGCCCCACCACTGCTCTCTGTTGCTGGGCTACAGATGTGTACATTCTACACTTCACAAGAGTATTTGGCAAATGAATTTTTCAAGTCCTGGATCCATGGAGAAACATAATAAATTGGGGGTTTGCTGGGTAAAAAAAAAAAAAAAAAAAAAAAAAAAAAAGTTAGAGACCATTAACCAATTCTGTGTGGTAGAAGAGTCCAAGTTGGCCTGGCTGGATCCTGAGGCTGGAAAATGGGTTGAAGCCAATCAGAAATCGAGGGACTTAGGGTTAATCAATCCACTTGGCTCTAGAACCAATCTACTAGATGCTTACTCTCACTCTTAATTTCTCTCTTAATTGTTGTTGTTGATTTGCATCTAAATCTGTGACAGATTAAATAGGCACTCACTTGAATAGTTCTCTTTTTTTTTTGAGACAGACTTTTTTTCTTTTTTAACAAGAGTTTTGCTCTGTCACCAAGGCTGAGTACTGTTGTGTGATCTTGGCTCACTGCAGCCTCCACCTCCTGGGTTCAGGTGATTCTCCTGCCTCAGGCCAATTGTTATCCAAATCTTGGTTCTACTTACTGGCTATTTGAACTTTAGCAAGTTATTTCACATCTTTATATGTTGGTGTCCTCACTTACCATGTGTCTGTCTATAGAAACTGATTCTTGCTGGCTGTCTCGTCTCTCACTTTTAAAACTTGCATTTCATAAGCCACTCTTATGCCTCACTGCATCCTCTCCCCTTTAAACTCCAGCCCAAGCGTGTGATCTCTTTCCTCTTGATTCCCCTTAACATGCCTAGCAAGGCTCATCTCTGCAAAGAAACGCTACTAAATGTTAATGGTGAACATAAAGAAAATCACTATGAGATTCAGATAACATAGTCAGCATGTTTTTAAGAGCACAGGATTCTGATCTCAAGACGGCCAACTCTGGCTTGGCTTGGCTTTCAGGTGCCTCTCAAACCGTGGCTCCAAGTTAGCCAGAAGGACATCTGTACTTGCCATATCTTCCTCATATCTCAGAAGTTGGTCTAACAGCTCATCAGTTCCTGTACTTCAGCCAATTTCAGAAGACCTTTCCTGAATAACACTTGAATGCTTTCCTCCTTTAGTCCCTAAAATCAAAGATCATCTGTGCTCCTGAATGCCAGTGTCTGATCCATGGAACATGCCTGTTTCCCAAGTGCTTTGGGGACTGGAGTGATTGGCATCACAGGTTCCAGTGGAGGTCATTACCCCCAAGCCTTGTGTCTGCCGTCTCCCATCAACCTTGCGGGTTTCCCTGTGGGAAGAGCCTCACCTATGCAGGGCGGTGAACTAACTTACAGGCCTGCAATATAATAATACTGCATTCTCCACTAACCACAGTGCTAATGTAGTAAGAATTGTTAACAGGAGGGATATTTTTCTCAAAAAGATACTGGGGGGCATTAGGTGATGAGAGATAAGAAAAAAAAAATCAAGGTAGGGAAATATTGGAGACAGATACATTAATTCTTTGAACTTTTGCCAAGGACAAGCCCTTATGTACAAATAGAATTTCAATTTAGATTGAAATAAGGTTATCTTTTGCTTTTAGTCTTGCTGGAATTCTTTGCATATTTTCAACCTGAACAAATGGAGTCCACTTTCCTTAGCAGAGAGGCTTGTGGACAAAAGCAGGCAATTCTTGTGTTACACAGGTTTTCACATTGTAAAAGGAGAGAGGACTGGGAGAATTAAATCCATATTTCTTTGGGTCCTAAGTGTTGGTGAGGGAAGCAACAGGTCAATGGTGCTGTTATTGTTCTATTAGGCAGAGGAGAAAATAGAGAGGGCAGAAGTTACTTGATCACAGTCACGTGGCCTAGAATGACTGACTACCATTATCTCTACCATACGCGTCTCTGTTTCTGGAAACCAAATGATCGAAGTATTAGAGAATTCATCCTGAATAGAAACGCAGTCAACAGAACCTCAAGCTGTGTGTGCTCCCTGACTCTTATCTCCTCAGGTACTGTGGCTCCTATATGGATCATCAGACAATTTTTCGAGTGCCCAGCCCTCTGGTTCACATTCAGCTCCAGTGCAGTTCAAGGCTTTCGGACAAGCCACTTTTAGTGGAATATGGCAGTTACAACATCAGTCAACGTAAGCCTGGGATCACTTCCTTAGAAAACCTTAGTAAATGCTTACATGGAGGATAACATTTTATAATCCTAAACTGTGAGAATTTAAGAAATGAACACTGCTTTATTTCTCCTATTTCCTTTTACATACTTATTTTTATAATAAATAAATATACAAGTATAAAAATATATAAATATTTAATATATAAATACATAATAAAATATATATGATATATAATATAAATATGGAAAATTACATCTTTATTACTACTGTACTTTATTAAAGAAATAATATAACTTTTAAATGTTACTGATTTATAGTTGAAAAATAATTTCTCACATTATTCCTTAAAGACAAGCCATTTATGGGTTTGTTGTTGCTAGCTATCATTTTCTGTAAATATGATGTTCACAGCAGCATATAGTGGATCCAGAGCCAACACTTGTCACTCACTTTGGTCCATGCTTGCACAGGAAGAGTTGTTTGGTGGAGGGAGTTCAAATATCAGTCCTCAGAATGTTGAGCTTGAAATTCATACTGAAAACTACTGGAAGAGTGGCCAGGAAGGGATCCTCAGAAAGGGCAGTGTGTGAGGGAAGTCATTAGAACTGCAGAGAGTAGATAATGACATGCTCAGGAAATCGTCGACCCATTTTAAGAGGGGAAAACTAAAGATTGCTCACTGAGGAGTCCACAAGGATATGACTTGAGAGAACACTTCTTTAGACTATGTCATTCTTTGCCAATCCCTAATAGACCTTCTTCTGGATTCAGAATATTACATCCTGAATATCAGAGTATTACAGTTTCCAGCAGAGTCACAGGTAGATAAGTAAGTAAGCTGTTTTAATTGTTTTTCAAACCATAACTATTTTCCAGCATCTCATCCACTCCATCATGTGCCATTGAAATTGTGTTTGACTTGACCGTACACTCTCCTCCATTCTTCTGGACAAGGGGAGGAAGGATTTATTTATTCTCTAATGTTTATCTACAAGCTCAGGAGGAGTGATTCAATATCAGGAATGAATCTTGAATCAGGGAATGGATCATTGATCAGAAGCCTGGTTGAAGAGGGCAGGAGTCTGGGTTTGCGGACAGTCAGTAGTCTCTCTAGGACCAGTGTGATAAGAGCAGTGTTTACCAATATGTTTTGGAGCACAGCTCCCTTGAAAATGTAATTTAAGACATACAGAATAATTCATTTGATCACAGAAGATTCAGGGACACCAGAAGTCAATTTAAAATTCTCTGGGGCAGTCTGAAGACTCCACATTAAAAATGCTGGGCTCCCTTAGGTATGTTCCAGCGTTCACATTCTTCAGGTAAATGACAAAGTCATTGAGCTGAGACTAGACTGTGGAGGTAGTAGAAGTTTGCTTGTGGATATGACGCGAATGCAGTGTTCACCCAGAGCTCCAGGTGGATACTGCTTTCTTCCTTGCTCTTCTGTGTTCTGCATTTTTGTCTTTCAGTGACTGGCAGCCTTCATTTGATGGAGACACTATATAATTATTACTGGTACTCTGCCAACTCCCTAACCATTTCACACATCATATTTCTTTGTTAATGTGGTCTAGTGATTTTCAGGGATCTATCCAAGATTTTCTATTTTCTGTTGCCCATAGCCTGCCCTGTTGGATCTTTTAGATGCTCCTCCGGTTTATGTGTCCCTCAGGCCCAGCGCTGTGATGGAGTAAATGACTGCTTTGATGAAAGTGATGAACTGTTTTGCGGTGGGTATTCAAGCTTTTAATATGACTTCCTTATGAATAAGTAAGTTCTCAGGACCATGATTGCTGCTGGTATGTATCCTTAGTCTTTGCAGTTATTATCTATTGCTGCATAACCAACTACCCCAAAACCCGGTGGCTTAAACAATCATTTATTCTTGATCAGGCATCTGTGGATTTTCTGGGATCTGACTAATCTAGGTGGGGCTCATATGGGTGGCTCTGCTTCAAGCATTGGGTCCTCCTGAACTTGATTCTTCCAAGATTGGAATCAGCTCTCCTTTTGATGGCCCTTTGCCTCACAGAGCCAGTGGGCTAGTCATGGCAGTGGCAAAAGGAAAAGAGGGGAGAGCAGAAACAACATGGTTTCCCCTAAGGCCTGGGCTTGAAACTGGTATGCCATCATTGGTGTCACATTCTATTGTTCAAAGCAAGTCACATAGCTGAGAACAAAGTCAGGGGTAGGGAAATTTACTCTGTACACCTTGGGGCTATGGTAACACTGGGGTGCATAATGCTACCACACGGAGTAAAGATCTGTGGCTTGTAACTTAATTCACCACAACCTTAAACACTGGAATCCTATTTGAAGGCAGATTCTCCACCTAGAGAGAAGCTCAGCATTTGCAGAGCACTACTCCTTCAGCATGCTCCTTTATGGAGCCCAGCTCTCGGCTGTTGTTTATAAATAAAGGAGAATGGGTTGTGTGTGTGTGTGTGTGTGTGTGTGTGTGTGTGTGTGTGTGTGTGTGTTTTCTTTTCCTTGAGACAGGGTCTCGCTTTGTCACTCAGGCTAGAGTGCAGTGCGTGATCACAGCTCACTGCAGCCTTGACTTCCTTGACTCAAGAGATCCTCCTGCCTCAGCCTCCTGAGTAGCTGGGACTACAGGTGTGCACCACCATGTCTCACTAATTTTTAGAAGATTTTTATTAGAGACAATGTCGCACTTTGTTGCTCAGGCTGGTGTCAAACTCCGGGCCTCAGGCAATCCAACTGCCTTGGCCTCCCAAAGTACTGAGATTACAGGCATGAGCCACGGCAGCCAGCCCCATAAAAGATAAAGTTTTGTTGTTGTTTTTCTAACCTGTACAATTTGTACTGACATTACGTTGGTGATGACTAAAGTGTGGGATAACTGGGTGTTCTTATTTTGGGTGGAGAATCTCTGCCTTAATTTTTCATGGCTATTTGCACCTTATTCCTGAATCTAAGTCTGGTTTCAGGGAGCAATATGGGAAGGACAATTCACTGGATTATGTGACACCAATGTCAGCATTTTCTCGTGAAAGTCCAGAGTTTTTAAATCAAATACAGTTGCAATGGTGATGCTATTTAATCTTTTTCATATTCTTGGAAAAATATACTTACTATGCTATATATAACTGAAAAATTGTATTAATGAAAAATAATGTGGGGGTCTGTCCTGCAGACCCTGACTCAGTGACGGATGAATAACATGCACTCAAACACAGAATGCAGTGGAAGAGCGAGCTGGGGTGTCTGGGCCACTCACTCAAAGGAGTTAATGGCAGCCGGCCTCCAGCAGTCCTGACTCCAGGCTTTTATTTAGTGTATCAAAGGATAAGGGTCTTTGGATCAATACCATTAGAGGATAATTAATTTGTGCCGATCCTCTGTGTAGAAGGCAGTTAACCACTAGCGATGATCAAAGGTTTTGCTAATGGAGATGGAGGTAAGGACTTATCTGGAGAAACTTCTTTCACAATTTCTAGTATATATTCTACTGTCCTAATGCCCTAGGGTAAGAGCTGGTCACCTTCGACCCATTCAGTCATTACAAGCTATGTAAACCTTTGGCCTTCCAAAAAGGTTTGTGACTATTCCCTAAAGCTATCTCTAATATCTTTCCTTTAATATTTTTGCCGCCACCCTGAGTGAACCTCTACAATGAGATACTTTATTTATTTATTTATTTTTTTAAAGACAAGGTATTGCTCTGCCATCCAGGCTGGAGAGCAGTGGTGTGATCATAGGTCACTGCAGCCTCGAACTCCTGGGCTCAAGGGATCCTCCCCACTCAGTCTCCTGAGTAGCTTGGCCTACAGGCACACACCACGAACCCCACTAACTTTTTTACTTTTCGTACAGATGGGGTCTCACTATGTTGCCCAAGCCAATCTAACTCCTGACTTCAACTAATCCTCCCACCTTGGCTTCCCAAAGTGCTGGGATTACAGGCACGAGCCACCACGCTTAGTTTATGCCTTTTTTTTTTAATTGGCAAAACAAAAAACAAAAAAATTGTCTAAGCTTATGGTTCATTGATTATTTAAATCTATAGTGTTCGATTTCTTAAGAAAATAAATACTGATTGTTATATAATGACTGAGGTTTTTTTTTACATTATTATTCTTTGTGCTGGTGCTGATTCTCCAAACAAAAATGATTCTTGTTAATTTATAATAAGGACTTTTTGGTAATCATTATTCCTCATTGTGCCACTTTTTGGAGCTATTCTCTAAGAGTTCACTAGGTCTGCCCAGAGACCTAATGAACAATTTTAGGACAGCAATATCCTCCTACCTGCCCTCACAAGAGATACCTCTGAAAAAACAGTCGCAGATAGCAAAACTGGTAACTTTTCATAAAACCAGAAATATCTAAGAAATCATACTTTCTAAATTTGCTTGCGTGTACTTGTTGCTGGTCTAAAGGCAATTAATGAAAGTATTCCAAAGGGGAAAAATGTGATAGATTTACATGAATATTTCCTAATTCAGGAAATGGATCTCATCAGACAAAATAATTCCAAAGAGACCACAGGACAACATAAACCCAAAGTCTGTTATCCTTTAAGATCTCACATTCATTAATTCATTCAATGAAATCTTTAGTAAACAACTACTATTTGTTCAGGAGCTTGAGGTACAGAGATGAAGAAGACAAAATCTCCAATCTCAGAACAGTTTTATTTTGCTTAGAAAAATAGATGAGTTTAATTTAGATCATAGCTTATGCTTTTTATTTTCCTTAAAATAAATTACTATTATGTATTTAGTGGTGATTAAATAAATAAGCCACTAGAGTTTAACGCATTTATACAAAAGCAAAAATCAGACTTGACAAACTCAAGTGCTAGAAATTATACCAAAGTTTAAACACCCACTTTTCCTCATGGAAGTGTCAGTTTTAAGGAAAATACACTTTTTGTTTCATTTAAGTCATCGGAATGATTTGTACCTTGAGACTGGCACTGCTGATCATCAGAGAACCCAGCTGATATCTCAGGCTCATGAACTTTGTTTTATTTTTTATTCTAGTGAGCCCTCAACCTACCTGCAATACCAGCTCCTTCAGGCAGCATGGCCCTCTCATCTGTGATGGCGTCAGGGACTGTGAGAATGGCCGGGATGAGCAAAACTGCACTCAAAGTGAGGGAGGGTCCTCTGTGCCCTGCTGTTCCTCCTATGAAACTCTCCTGAATCAGGACAAAAATACCTCTGATGGGTTAGGGGTTATGGCAATCAACTTGTCCCAGTTTCTCTGGAACTTTTCCAGATTTAGTACTGAAAGCCCCTTGTCTTGGGAACCCCTTTAGTTCCAAGGGAACAAATTGGGACAGTTGGTCACTCTAAATGGGGTGGAGAGAGTGTGTGTGTGTGTGTGTGTGTGTGTGTGTGTGTGTGTGTGTGTGTTCTTGTATGAATACTGGCAGATTCTTATTGCTTACTTGCTTTTAATGATGCTCAAGATTGTAGGATACAGAGGACCTGATGTAGAGGAACTTGCCAAATACTGGAATGGAACACATTTCACTGTCACCCTTGCAGAAACAAACCTCTGAGGTTGTGAACAAATGTGTTGTAATTAACAAATCTGTCCTTTTGCTGCCTACTGATATAAAATAACTGAATACGGCAGTGATTTTTGCTCAAAAGTTTTTTTGGAGAATAAGACAAGGTAATAGCAAAGAGGCTCCAGCCTAAAGCCACTGATATGGTGCACTTCTTCACATCTCACCTGCTGTAGGAGAAAGAAGAGGTGGTTGGATTGATTCTCAACAGATATGCCTGCCAGCCTTCAAATGGCTTTTCTTAGGTGAAGAAACAGATCACTGTGAGCTTGTTTCACTTCTCTCTGCCATTTATTCCAGAGCAGCAAATACCAATCCTATGATTCAACCATTGTTATGAGGTTCGGGGTTATGCATTCACATCTCATTTACTCAATTTGTTTCTGGCTAAGGTAAGCTGTTTCTTCTTTTGTCCGTTTTTAGGTATTCCATGCAACAACAGAACTTTTAAGTGTGGCAATGATATTTGCTTTAGGAAACAAAATGCAAAATGTGATGGGACAGTGGATTGTCCAGATGGAAGTGACGAAGAAGGCTGCAGTGAGTAGAAATTCATTCTTTGGATTCCTGTATTCCCTCTTCAGTTTACTTGTTTTATATTTTCATTCCCTTCTTGGAGGTTGACAAAAGCCAAAAGAATAGTAACTATTGGCAAACTGAGTCTGAAATTGTTTCTCAGAAATAAAAACTTTAGAATAGATTCTGTCTTCTTGATGACAGCATTAATAAATTAATTTTTTATAATGAGAACTTTCACTTTCTAATAACTTTAATCAAGGGAGAAGATCTTGAATAAAAAACATCCTGTGAGAAAATAAATAGGTATTGGAACACAGTATCTATTGTTGACTTGTTAATAATGTCTTATGTTAGGAACAATATTAAGTGCTGTTTCTTGCTTTAGGTTTGACCCAATAACTAATCTCCCGCATGCTCCTATTAGTCATGTGGCCACTAATTGGCCATGTGGCAACATGTAAATTATACATCTTTACCAATACTATTTACACTGGTAAACAATTGCTCTGATAACCAGTTTTCCCAGTAGGTTTTCATTTGTAAGGGACTTAAACATCTTTTCCCAAATGCTTCTTGTCACATCAAGACAAAGAAATTCAAAGGTCAAGAATTTCTTCAAAGAAATTCTCAATTCATTTACATTCCTCTTTACCTGACAATCTAAGTCCACAGGCTGCTGTTGATGTCAGCCCAGCTGTTACAAAAGGTCTCCCTCCTCCTCCCACATGCATTGTGGTTTAGAGCCTGTGTCAGGGCATGCTTCAGAAAGGAGGGAGTGGTTTGGTACTGGTTTCAGACATATTCACGTATTCTCTGTCCTCTAGATAAGGAGATTTCAAATTGCTACCTAGTGAGTCAGTTTCCAGCTAGCACTAAACCTGGCTTCATTTCCATTTTTCTTCCATGTCGATCTTTAAATCCCATGCCCTTTCTCCACTAAAGCCTGCAGCAGGAGTTCCTCCAGCCTTCACCGCATCATCGGGGGCACAGACACACTGGAGGGGGGTTGGCCATGGCAGGTCAGCCTCCACTTTGTTGGATCTGCCTACTGTGGTGCCTCGGTCATCTCCAGGGAGTGGCTTCTTTCTGCAGCTCACTGTTTTCATGGAAACAGGTAGGGCATCTCAATCCCTACTCTCAAGTGGCACTCTCTGGCCACAGATGATATATCTGCCCTCAAGTTGTGGGAAGCAGATCCCTGTTGGAGACATTCAATCAACTCATTTGAGATTTCATTTTTTTGGATCCCACTTGTGTGACAAACTTTTTTTTTTTTTAGGTATTATTGGTACAAAAAAAGAACACAAAGGAAACATCAAGAATAAATAGGCTTTTACTAAGGCTGAGAAAATAAGATAGGGCTTTTAACTCAGAGGGAGCAAACTTAAGAGGGAATGTGTGGAGAATGTGGAGAAGAATGGGCACTGGAGAGTGACAGCAAAACGCAGATCCCTATTTAAACTAGGAGAGGGATCCTGGAGAGGCCCATTAGGATTGGTTTGGAAGGGCTCTGTCTATCTTTAGCAATGGGATTATTATGGAACAGATGCTCTTCCAGCTAAGGGTAAGAAGACATCTTAGAAAATAACCTCACTTAAAATTTAAACTTATTTTGAATCTACTGAATCTTAGGTTGAAAAAAATAATTCACTTCTAATTCTGTATTTGTTTTTTGTATTTCAATGAAGTTATACAATTTGGGTATTTGCTTCTCCTGGAAATTAAAGGACTTGTATTATTAAGATAGCTTCACATCTGTTTGATCATTAGTCCCTAATGCTGTGAAACTGCTCCAAATAATGTGTTAACCCTAATATTTCTTTGGGTGTCCACTGCCACTCATGAGACATCAGCTAAGCAGATTAGTGAGCAAAATTTTGGAGCTTCCTCATTTTCTTCACTCCCATCCTTTGCCCCCACTGTTATGCTGATGGAGATGGAAGCCTCACATGGAGATTACAAGTCCTTTCGTGACTTGTGCAAGGTCATGGGGGTCAAGATTGGGATTCTCAAAAGACTCATAGGTTGGTGACCCTATGAATGGGCATTGTTGAGCAGTAACAGTAGTGATCATTAAGGCTTCTGGTAGTTTGCCAGAAGGAATTTCATTAAGTTCCTGCTTATAACACTTTGATTGCTAATCTATCTTGGTATTCATATCATTTAAATTTGATAGTAGGGTTCTCCATGAAATGCCATTGTCAGCATGAAAAGGAAGAATGCAACAAATTAATTCTAGTTACCAGCATTCTTGACCTGTGTGTGGTTCATGGACTATCAGTGGCAAGAAAATGTCCAGGCATTTGCTGAGGACATTGTTGAATGAATTTTCTATAACTTGTCACTCCTACCATAGCTTACTTCATTTCTGGCTTTAATAATGAGACAACGGAGGCCTACAATTATGATTTCTGCCATAGTCCCTAGACAGGGCTGGTGGCTATAGCAAGGGAAGTCAGGCCCTTCTTTTTCAGCCCTCAACTCTTTAGAGTGCTTGTTTGCAAGCGATATATGGTTCTTTAAGCTGCTAACTTTGTGTTTCATTACTGTTCTATCAGGCTGTCAGATCCCACACCATGGACTGCACACCTTGGGATGTATGTTCAGGGGAATGCCAAGTTTGTCTCTCCGGTGAGAAGAATTGTGGTCCACGAATACTATAACAGTCAGACTTTCGATTATGATATCGCTTTGCTACAGCTCAGTATTGCCTGGCCTGAGACCTTGAAACAGCTCATTCAGCCAATATGCATTCCTCCCGCTGGCCAGAGAGTTCGCAGTGGGGAGAAGTGCTGGGTAACTGGCTGGGGGCGAAGGCATGAAGCAGGTGTGTGTATGAATGAGTGGTTATGCCCTTCCCCTGCAGAGGATGATAAGGTGTTTATATAGAGCTTTAGGGTTCACAGAGAGGGTTTGTGTGTATCATCTCCTTTGAGCCTCCTGACAACTCTGGAAGGTTGGATTGAAGGACGGTATTATTTTTCCTTTTTAATGATGCTTTCCGGCCGGGCGCGGTGGCTCAAGCCTGTAATCCCAGCACTTTGGGAGGCCGAGGCGGGTGGATCACGAGGTCAAGAGATCGAGACCAACGTGGTCAACATGGTGAAACCCCCTCTCTACTAAAAATACAAAAAAATTAGCTGGGCATGGTGGTGCGTGCCTGTAATCCCAGCTACTCAGGAGGCTGAGGCAGGAGAATTGCCTGAACCCAGGAGGCGGAGGTTGCGGTGAGCTGAGATCGGGCCATTGCACTCCAGCCTGGGTAACAAGAGCGAAACTCCGTCTCTAAATAAATAAATAAATAAATAAATAAATAAATAAATATATAAAGATGCTTTCCACCTGCTTCAAAAGAAGCAGGGCCCATCTCATAAAGAGGGAGAGGACTGTGTATGAGCAAGGCAGGATTGACTAGATAGTTATGGGCCCTTGTCACACGCTGAAGAGTATGCTATGTTATTCATTAGAGAAGGAGCAATTCCTCCCTTTTCATTCAAAGAAGTGATTCATTTATAAAGGAGAGAAGGACACACATACACATTCCACTATGTCAACTCATAGGCAACAGTCTGGAAGATTATGTGAGTATGTCCTGTACCTATGCAGCTGGCCAAGGGATACGAGTGAGGTCTGGACTCCAGCCTTCCCTTAGTTCCCAAACCAAAAATTCAGGCCTGGAGTTTATACCAGCCCGAACTGAGTCCACCCAGAGGCGATACCTTTGTGCAATTCCTCTGACCTGAGAGGACATCTTTTCAATATGCACAAAGATCAGGCTGTATAGTAGGAAAGTCCCTGCATCTACCCTGCCAAGGTTTTCCATGGTCCAGGATTTAAGGTGGGATTCTGAATATATAGTGAGGGGAAGAATCCAGTGTTTTGTGAATGTCTCCTCAAATGCTAGTGCTAATATTTTCCCTTGATCTTCCAATAACCTCACATTCTTTTGCTGTCCTTTTCAAGGGTTTAGGACACACACAGTGTCTGTAATTCTTGAACCTTACCTTTAGCCTCATTTTGACACTCTAAAGTGTGGGCGGCTTCCCAAAGGCAGCTTCTCACTGCTTTCATTTAGTTATTGAAGTAGTAATACTCACCACCAGTTTCGGTCCACTGAAGTCCAGGGTCCTAAGGAGGGAAGGCAGCTGACTGAACACTTGTAACTTTGATAGGTTACTGTGCTCAGTGCTTTGATTACATTATCATATATCACTAAAGGAAAGTGTCTTCCCAACCAACTTATGAGATGTTTTCTTTATAAGTCTGAGTATGTGTGTGTGTGCTTATTTTTCTGAATCTTCTTAGCTAGGTAGGTTCAAAAGGAAGTGAAAGGGCTACATGCAAACTGTTAGGTTTTTATGGTTCATCAGAGACACCCGTATATCAGTTATGCTGTTAAAGAGCTCTCTTGAATAGCAGATATTGGTAATAACTGGTGCTGACTCACTATCCTACTGAAATCAGGAGGGAAATGGGGAGGAATATGGCACAGTTGTTCAAGTAATTGAGTCAGACCTTGGGTCTGACTCTTGCGTTACTTGCTAGCTTTGTATCACCAGGCAAGTCCTTTAGTCTCTTAACATTCCATTTCTTGATCAGCAAAATGAGGATGATAGTAGAAGTTACCTCAAAGAATTGCTGCTCTGAGGGTAAAAGGAGATAATGTGTGTTAACTTTTCAAATGAAGCCCTGAAGACATGTAGCCATTACCACTAACAACACTTCTACTTCCAATGTGTTTTGCAGATAATAAAGGCTCCCTTGTTCTGCAGCAAGCAGAGGTAGAACTCATTGATCAAACTCTCTGTGTTTCCACCTATGGGATCATCACTTCTCGGATGCTCTGTGCAGGCTTAATGTCAGGCAAGAGAGATGCCTGCAAAGTAAGTCATTGTACCTTTCCCTTGATTAACATGTTGTGCTTTCCATAAATGCTTTCTCACTTAATCTACATAACACTGGGAAATAACCAGGGTAGGTACTTGCCTTAACTCATCTGAGCGTCTCAGATATTAATTTTAATCCAATTGCCTAAGATCATGGAGAGGTATTGAAATAATTGATTCTATAGAATTCAGTTTTCTATGATGTGCCTCATGTATTTTCCTTCAATATTTAGAGGATGAGATCAACATTCATCATTCTGCCATAATTTTCTTATAACCAATTTATTTCCTACTTCCTTGGCAGCTGCCATTTAATTTCTAAAATGCAAAGGGTTTTTATTTACTCACTCCTTTGAAGCATATGCTGGGGAAGGAAGAGAGGAATGGAGAGGTAGCAGAGAGTACTCATTTGTAGGTCACTCTGCAGGCCCTTGGCAGTGGGAAAGTTGGAGGCCACCTTTGGGGAGACATTTCTGAGATTCCAATCTGTGCAGTTACCTAAATGATTGCCAAAGAGTAAACAGATGCTTTAGAGCAAGCTTGTCCAACCCAGGGCCCATGGGCCACGTGCAACCCAGGATGGCTTAAAATGTGACCCAACACAAATTTGTAAACTTTCTGAAAACATTATGAGATTTTTTTGGTAATTTTTTTTAGCTCATTAGTTATCATTAGTGTTAGTATATCGTATGTGTGGTCCATGACAATTCTTCTTCTTTTAATGTGGCTCAGGGAATCCAAAAGATTGAACACCCCTGATTTAGAAGGTGAGTAGGACAGTGGGAGCGGCTCTTTCATCTTTCCACAACCTTAGCCATGATGCCACAAAAACTCATCCTATAATAATGACTTCTGTCTTCTGAGCTCCTATTTTATGGCAAGCAGTGTGCTAGGTTCTTTACATAAAGTCACTCCAATGATTATTTTTTCTTCATTTTATGGAAGAGGAAACTGGGCACAGAGAGGGTAAGTAAATTGCCCAAGGTCATACAGCTAGTAAGTGTAAATGTCTGAGCTGGGATTTGAACCCTTGCCTCTCTAATGCTCAAGGTATTCTATTTTGGGTGTTTCCCATAGCTAGTCAGTTACATAGCCCTGTTCCACACAGCCACCAGTGTTTACTTGTTAAACTTAGTCGAGTTGATGTGGTGGCAATTAGAATAAAAAGCCCAGTTTCCCTACTAGTTGGAATTTTCCTAATCAGGTATAAGATCATAATTTGGATACATGGGCAAATTTGTTGCCTCTGAGTAAATTGCAAGATTATCTACCCTCTGAAATAGGAAAATAAAGCCTACATATTATAATTTAAAGGACTAGTACAGTGGAAATTATGTTTACACTTTGAATTATTTAAGCCTTTGCTTAGAGGAATTGAGATATCAGAAAGGACTCTCAAGTGATGGTGATTTGTTTGTGATGACTGTGGGCCAGTAGTTGTTAGGATTTTTTCACTGGACCTGGCTAACTAAACAGAGTCTCTTCTCCACGGGGCTGTGAGCCAATCATTGGAGTTGCATGGCCCAGAGATAGACGTAAACCTTCCGAGATAACCATGCCTCATAAGGTTGTTGTGAGGATTAAATGACTTTAAACAATTCTTAGCACATAGCTAGCACTAAGTGTTAGCCCTTACTACCACCAAGCACCACCACCACCACCGTCACCACGGTCACCATCACCCCCACCGCCACCACGGCCACTGCCACCACCACCACCACCACCATCACCACCACGGCCACCACTCCTTTACTTAGGTTTATTCTTTGTTTAGGGGTATGTGAGAGTTGTTTTCTCCAATAAGAAGTTTCTAATGTTATTCTTGGCCTAAAGAATCATGTTTCTTCTAACGAACACAACTGTTTGATTATAGGAAGAAAAATTCTAAAATGATAGAAGTTTCACATTAGTTTTTGACACTTCCCAAATGGGATCAGCCAAGCAAAAATCTGTCATTACAGGACGCTTGAACACAATTCATTAGATGCAATAAAGATGAAACTGATGATCATAAGACAAATTTACTTTCTACTTACATTATTGTTTTGTGTAGGGAGATTCGGGTGGACCTCTAGCTTGTCGAAGAAAAAGTGATGGAAAATGGATTTTGACTGGCATTGTTAGCTGGGGACATGGATGTGGACGACCAAATTTTCCTGGTGTTTACACACGGGTGTCAAACTTTGTTCCCTGGATTCATAAATATGTCCCTTCTCTTTTGTAAGTGTACTAGTTGGATTTTTACTGTGATTTATGTTAAAAATAGATACTTAAACTGATGCAATAATTATTAATAAAATGAGTCCCTTACTTTTTTCAACTGGAAATGTCAAATTGCATACATTTAATACTTATTGAGAGATTAATATGTATTCCATAACAAGTTTTTCCAAGAAAATAACTATATTCATTCTATGTATCAAAAGGCTATTGATTCAGAGAGAGAAGAAACCTAAAGTAATGTTATAAACCAAGCCTCTAAAAACAATAAAAAATGAGAGAGATGTTCAGGGATCCTTCTTCTATGTCCCTATTCAATGTTCAGATATTCATAAAAATTAGAGCAAATTTGACTTATTAAAATAAGAAATTCCATTAAAAACCATACCTGACCTTCAGCAATTTCAAGAAACTAAATGCACAAAATATCTCCTTTGCAAATGCAAATAAAGCAAAATTCAGTTCTTGACAGAAAAAGTACCTATATTGTTGCTTTACAATCCAATTTTGTCTAACCATATCATAGTGGACCATCTTCAGCTATGGCACATTGTAATGTTGTGTACAGAGAAACAACCAACCAACCAACAAAACTGATAGCCACCTTTCCTAAATGGCAGAATAAAGCATCATGGTAACTGAATCAAAAGCATGTATATGAGATTCAAAGAAATCGTTGTAATGTTCATCAGCAGAAAAAAGGCAAAGAAATTTTGAATGATTGTTGTGAAAGTGAAATTTTTCGGAAATATTATCATCTGGCTTTTGGTTCTTTTCTAAAACCCCAGTGGCTGAGACTTTCTTTTACTTCCAGACTCTTATAATACCTTACATAGTTGTAAACCTATACATACTCTCAAAGTATCTTAGTTCTTGATTTATTTTGTCTTGATTTAGGTTTCATAGTTGGTATCAGAATATTCTTTTACTTCACAGAAGCCAGAATTGACAGTACCACCAAATGAGTGAAAACAACAGAAAAAAAAGGGTGATATTATTGGTTTTCCTGTTACAAAGTCAAAGGAGTATTAACAATACCATTATCAGGTATAATCTATTGATAGAATATTGCCCAGAACCTTAGAAAATCTTAATGTAACAACAAAAAGAGAGAGAGCAAAAGGTGTCATCCCCCAGGCCAGATAAATTTTTCAGTTCATAGAACATATTTTGATTTGTTAAAAGACTGTTCCCTCAGATTAAGGATAAAGCATCTTAATAATACCTGTATGCATAGGCCCCAAAGGTTTCAGTAAACTGGCTATATGATAGTGTAATTCAGAGGGCCAAGTGTACCATTAATTCAAAAGGGAGGACTTGGCTACTGAATCCACTAGACAGAAGAGCAGACTGGCTGATAGTTCGTATAATCTACATTTATTTTGTCTGGATGGCTGTGACCTATATACAAGGTGACTTGTACTTTCTACTTTATGGTCATTTCTAGGGTGTAGAATTGCTCTTCGCAAAATACATGAAAACCTTTGCATAAGTTTGTGATCTCGGGACGGAGGAGGGCTGGCATGATTTATCAGATTCATCAGAGGGAGTTTTTGAAAGCACATGTATGCACTACCACTAGTATTAAAGTGAGTACACTACGTTCCTTAGCAGTGCTGAGGCAGGGAAAAGGTTGAAAAACAAACCTAACTTATTTGGATATTGCATGTTAAGATGTATTTAGAACCTGAATGATGTGGGATATCCACTTCATTCCTGCAAAGGTGTAAAGTAAGGCAAGTCTCAAGATTGGTTTTGTTAGCAGAGTGGAATGACCTTCATAAACCAAGACAGAAGCATTTCATGTGCCATATTACTGGGGAGAATTTGTAAGGGCTCATGCCCTCTTTCACAGTGCCTTGAAAACAGCACAGTGAAGCACCACAAACCAACCATTTCTCAATGGCTTTCTACTTGATTAGCCTGAGTGGCTGGCCCAGTTGCTGATGTTTGTGATAGTACTGCTTGTCATCTGACAACACGCAGGAACAAACTGTTGCATATTCTACAGGCACAGACCTATTTGAAGGGAATGAGATAATTTGGCATATTGGTGATATCACTCGGATGATGTTACTGTGTTTTTTGGTTTATATGATAACCATTAATTTGCTTCTTAAAAGGATTTAAGAAGAAGATCAAGTACTATTACAAAAGAGCAACACTGAAAATATTATATTGGTCAGCAAATATAAGTATGTTTTAATTTTTTAATGTTATTTAAATTGGACTCTTCAAACAACCTAAAGCAATTGAGTCAATAATAATTTTAAATTATAGTAAAGAAATCTATTTTTGAAATAATAGTACATTTAAAAAGCTACCCTTATGTAAATAAATTCTGAAGGAATTACAAAAACAAATGTACGTAGAGTTTGGTTTCTCATTCACAAATGCTTGACTTTCATCAGAATTGTTTAATCTAAAGCTGGTTGTACCTCCAGGGAGAAACACCTAACTTATTCTGAATCCTTAGTGTGAGTCAAACTGACTCACACTAAGTCTTCAGGTAGGTGTTGGCACTCTCATCTGCATTCCAGGTCAGCTGTCTGGAGATTAAGAAATTTGCAGTTAACAGAAACAGGAAGAGGAACAGGTTGCAAATAAGAATTTAAGTAGTTCAGGTAATATGGGAGGTGTCAGCAAGTGTCAGTGATCAGGAAAACAGGACAGGACAGGAAGAAAAATCAATGTCAAAAGAAAACATATTAAGTCAAAGCTTAGTTCTGGGTGCTAAGAGTTGAGGGAGGGTGGGGATTAATTACAAAGACATAGTCAGGAAATGTAAGGGAGCATTTATTTAGATCCTTTCATTTTTCAGGCACAGGAATAAATGCTTTACCTTAATCTTCCTGACTCTCCTAGGTTGGAATCATTTTATACAAAAATAGACATTAAACAGCTTGCTCAAGAACACAGAGATAGTGAGAGTCTAAATTTGATTCTAGTTCTGTCTGCCTTCAGAACTTATACTCCTTCCACTGTACCATGAGGACACTGGTTAGGCATATGGAGCGATGGAAATGCATTCAAATCTAATAAGAGAACATATAAACCTTACTTAACAGTCCTCAAAAGGCATTAGAAGATGTGGTTTAGGGTGTGCCTGAGACAGGAACAGTTGCTTTTTGATACTCTGGGGAGTGAAGGAGACTTTAGGTATCTGCGCCTGGAGAAACCAGGCTTAGATGAGAGCTACTATCCATCTAATGTGAGAAAAAAAATCTCACATTTAGGTAGAACTCCTGCAATCAAATGAGGGAACTATGAGAAAAGTTTTCTGGACCCTGGGTAAGGATAGGGGTGGGGAGAATCAGAAGTTTGAGAGGTCTCAGTGCTTCCAGTCAGGTCTGCATGTTTTTGTGACTACAGATCCTATCAAGACCTCCCACCAAATTCCCACACCCTTCACTGGCTTTAGTTCTTAATTAGTCTCCAGTTCCTTTTAGGCCTAGGGGTGTTAATAGCTTCTCGCTACTGCGAGTCCCTGGGTACCTCACCGTTCCTTGTTGATTCCCTTAACCTTTGCTCCTTGGTTAAAAAGCCTGTTCAAAAATCCCAGCTGAGAGTGCAGCCGGATTCCTGCAGGATCTGACTGTTGGAGCAGAAGTCAGTGCAGGCCAGCAGCTGAGTCACTACTCAACTCCCTTAGCAGGCAGATAGATCCAAAGTTCAAGGGGATCTGTCTGGTAGCAGGTACCAGACAACTGGAGACAGGGTATCTAGGCTGTGTCTCAACAGCAGGCCCTGAAGATGCCAGACTTCGACTCAAGTCAACAGATTTGGAGTGGAGGTGATTATATGTTTCTTGTTAATGGTCTGGTCTCAATATGTGTCTGTGTGTTGCATGGGGGTGAGAAGTAGGGAGCAAGACTATTCTGAACAGACGCTTGAGAGGTGAGGCCCTTGGCCCAACCCACGCTGTGCTTGGCAAACATAATCCCAGGCTAACTAAACCGGAAGTTCTGAACTATAGATAGGGCGTCAAGGAGATTGTGTGGTGTGGGTGTGTGTGTGTGAAGGCCCCTCCCCGAAGATAAATAATGGTCAACATTTATGGGTGCTTGCTGTGTCAGCCACTGCTCTGAGTGCTTTGCTTACAGCAACTCTTGCAATCCTGGTAACAACTACATTAGGAGGGGATAAATATTACGCCAGCTTTCCAGGTGACGAGGCTGGCACAGAGACTTGAAGCCCGAGGTCTCACAGTGAGGAACCCTTCGGGTGGAGAATAAGCCAGGTAGACGGGTTCCAGACTCCGCTGTCCCCAGCACCACCCAATACTGTCTCTGTGCCCGACTCTGGACTTGAAGTGTGTTGGTGTGTGTTATTCATCTTCACAGACTCAGAACCTAGCACCATGCCGGCACGAGGCACGGTTATTTGTTGACTGAATGAATGACCTTTTGCTAGGCCGGGAGGACTGTGGCAAACCCCACCAACCCGCGGTTCTTAGGGTTAGACGGCAAACCTTCCTCCGCTGGACGGAGCGGCCGGGCCCATCCTTTCCTTACCGACACCCAGGCTGACCCTAAACCCAGACGGTGGTGCACCCGCAGGCGCAGGCAAAGGCACAGCAGGCAGCGCCGAGAACAAACCGGAAAAACAGCCGTCGGCTCTGGAGCCCACGGCGGGCACGGCCTCAGGTGCGCTACCCCGCGGGGTCCAGGGAGCGGCCGCCACTAGCCGCTCGCCCCTCCCGCCGGCTCCGGCCCGCTCCAGCCGCCCGAGGTGCGCGGCGCCCCGCCCAGGGCGGGAGGGGAGGCGGGGAAGGCGCCCGGACTCTGCCTGCGGCGCGGCCTCCCGCGGAGCCGCCCAGACCTTCTCCGCCGGCCCATGGACCCGGCGCACCCCTCGCCGCCCGGCGTCCGGCTGGAGCTGTCGGCGCTGGAGCGGCAGCCCGACGAGCACACGCCTCTCAATGGTGCCGTCCGTGTGGACGAGGCGGCCCTGCCGGCCGAGGTAAGGTCTCCGGGGCGCTGGCCCTAGCGTTCCGGCGGCGGGACGGCGGGACCGGGCCTGGCACCCGCGGGTTTCGGGTTTCCGGCCGGGCGGGGCGTGGCCGGCGCCGAGCGAGGGTGGGGCGCGCGCGCGAGCTCCGGACGGAGCCGATCCCCGCGACCCCTTTCGGCGCGGGCGGCCCCTTCCCCGGCCCCCGGGGCCCTCGGGAACCCTGCTGGCCACGTGTGGCCGCTGCCGTCTTCAGAGACAGACTCCGGAGATAGAGGTCGTTTTTAAAAGTCATGTAACTTTTAATTCAGCTTTTCTTTTTCCCAGTAGAATGAGAATGACAGATTGCGCGTCCTCCTCCTCTCAGAATGTCTTCGGGCTCCCTCTGCCTTCACGGTCTTGCCGTTTTTCTCCGTCCCCGTGGCAGCCCCCAGCCCTCTTCCCTGCCTGCCATCCCCCAGGCGCTTTCTGCCTTCTCCCAGCCTGGCCATTTGGTTCTGCAGGAAGAGAGATAGGGGAGAGCACAGAGGAGAGCAGTCAGAAGGAGAAGCTGTACGACCGGGGTGTGGGGATGCGGGTGGAGGGGGTTGAACTCGCCCTGCTCAGTTGAAAGAAAGTAATTTCAAAGTTCTTGTGTGGAGGGATGACTCTTTGCCCTCTTTGCTTTTACCTTCTCTCGCTCCCTAAGAGAACCCCTGGCGATTTTTAGGTCACACGCTCTTTCGGATTCAACCCTAGCAATGATGAGAACATTATTCACTCTCATCAAAGACTTGTAAAACATCAGAGCTTTGAATCCACCTTCTGATTAACCCCTAAGATTGGCTTGAGGTTTTCTGGGTACACAGAACTCCTCATATAGAGCCCCAGCCTGATCTTTCCAGGCCCCACTCCTCCACCCTCAACTTTTTGGCTGCCCAGCTGTTGATTTTAGGGATAGGCAGGAAATTCGAAAGTTGAAAGCATTGCTTTTGTTCTACATCGATTCCTGGAACTATTGCAAAGTCCGCTTTTATAGGTACTCTGGAGAGTCATTTGGAAACTTATTTCTGAATAAAAGATGAATGCCACAGAAGAATGAAGTTTGAACGAAGATAATCTGGTCACCAGTGCAAGTGGTCACAACTGTGAACTTGCTGTATGGATCCTCTAGGACAGTGTCTAGGAATGGGAGTTGGAAATACTTGCTTCAGATTAGATAGACCTGGACACCCTAAAGACTCCCTAGCTTGGAACTGATCCAGAGATCTGGTGACAGTTTCACCACTTAAAAGTGTGTCCCAGGGGCAAGGCTGTCCCGTAGCAGTAATGTGTGCCTACTCGGGCTTCTGTGAAGCCCGGGAATGCCTTGTTGAAAACAGCTAATGGGTAGAACATGTCAAATCCATGCAGGGTTATCATATTCTATAATTCTTTAACACCTACCCTGTAGCAGTTGCTCTTTCATGTTATCGTGACGCCCTCATTAGTCAGGTATATTCAAATATCCTACGCTTCTTTGTAAGTTAGCTTTGTAGGTCACCCAGCAGGAGACTGTCCTCAGCAACAGGATGGAGTGAAGGTGAAGGGTTACAGGAGCATTTGGAGTGTGTTCAAGGAATGCTTGGACTGGGAAACTTTTCACAACGAGATTAAAAAAAAAAAAAAGCCTTGCCTAGTGTGTTAATCGTTCTCTTTGGTTCTATAAAATAAAGTGAAGTGTGTTTCAGTTGGAAAAGTCAATAAATATAGGCTCATTAAAAAGATTCAGACAAGATTCAGACACAAGAATTTTGTGTGTTGGTCTCTTTGAACTGTATATTAAGATTTCCAATTTTGAAATGCAGCTTAAAGTCCATGTATTTTCATTAACCCTGTTTTGTAACTGTCTTGTGACAAACACCTTTGATGCATAAATGCATTTAATTATCACAACTAACTTAAGAGGAAGGTGCCAGTGTTCTGATTTGTCAAATTGAAGATGCTGAGTGAAGAAATTGAGGGAGTCTCAGAGGAGTTACCAGAATGCTCAGGTTCACTCAGTGGTGTCTCCAAAGCTTGAATGTATGTTTTTTAGGTCTCAAACCTATGCTGTTTTTGTTGATTTACTCTTTCTATCATCTATCTGCATTTAATTAAAATATATGTCATATATAATTGATGCTTATTTATAGTTGCCTCAATTATTAATTACTACTAATTTCTATAAGTTAGGTAATTTATAATTAGGTAATTTAAATGAGCTAGGAGTTGAGTATCACTCGGGAATGATGGAGTTGCGGATGGATGGGTGAGGAATTGGGAACAGTTCTGGTATGATTGGCACGAAGACATCTCTCTTCCTCCTTGGAAGAGCTGTGGTGGGAGAGTGAAAAGCAGCAGAAAGAACTTCTTTCCCTTTCTCGGTCTGTGCTTGGCACCTGAGACAAAGGAATAGAAGCCACTGAACTCTGCTTTGCCTGCTGTCACCGTAAACATGGCAATCTGGTTGGGTCAAAAATGAGAAAGAAATTATGGGTAACAGAGTGAGGCTGGTTTTCTTTTATGGCTCATTACATGGCCTCTGACTCCGTTTTCAAATGGAAGTCCCAGAGGCATTTTAAGTGATGGCATCATTTGAATAATAACAAACCAGTAAATTGATAGTTTTGAGGGAGGTAAGATTTATTTCAATGGGCTAGGTAAAAATTAGCTCCATTGTCATGTGTTGTTCAGTTTAGGACAAGAATCAACTGGCTCTTTTGTGCTTGGGTCAAAAAGTGGATTAAATCCCAGAATGAATATTATAAAGAGTTTTCGGGCCGGGCTCGGTGGCTCAAGCCCGTAATCCCAGCACTTTGGGAGGCTGAGGCGGGTGGATCACGAGGTCAAGAGATCGAGACCATCCTGGTCAACATGGTGAAACCCCGTCTCTACTAAAAATACAAAAAATTAGCTGGGCATGGTGGCGTGTTCCTGTAATCCCAGCTGCTCAGGAGGCTGAGGCAGGAGAATTGCCTGAACCCAGGAGGTGGAGGTTGTGGTGAGCCGAGATCGCGCCATTGCACTCCAGCATGGGTAACAAGAGCAAAACTCCGTCTCAAAAAAAAAAAAAAGTTTTCTACCTGTAAGACAATTTTCCCTGATCTGTATAATATCTGTTCCTGATTGAGTCAAAAAGAAGAAAAACTTGGGATCCAAGAGATAGGTATCCTGCCGCTGTTGCAGGATCCTGTGTCATGTATTTAGACCTTTATCTAAAGACGGATATGAATACCTGGGGAATGTTCACAGGAAAGTCCCGAAAATTCTTGAGCGGTATAATACGATCACAGAATATAAGATGCAGTTTGCACACATCAATTATTGAGCCATGTAAAACAATCATAGAATGTAAGATTCAGTTGCAAATATCTCCGGAAGGTGTCTTGCAGAACAATCTACCTGTGGCCTCTCCTCACCACCTAGAATTTGGGCAAGGGAGATGAAGCCAGTGAAGAAGGCAGTGTGTCTTCATGATCCAATTTTGAGGCAAGACTCAGATGGCACAAGTAGCACACATCTACTATGTCAGAGGCTCTTCACCCCCAGGGCACATTGGAATCTCCTGGGGGTACCTCTAAAAGATACTAATTCTTCAGCTGATTCTGATGTGCAGACAACTGAGAAGCACCGTACACGCAATTGTTTGGCTGGGAGTGTCGGACAGTTTTGTGTGGGTGTGTGTGTTTCATTTTTCATTTGAGACAGGGTCTCACTCCTGCCCCACAGGCTGGAGCGCAGTAGTACGCTCATAGCTCCCTGCAGTCTCGACCTCTTGGGCTCAGGTGATCCTCCTACCTCAGACTTCTCAGTATCCGGGACCACGTGTGTAAACCATCATGCCTGGCTTTTTAAAAACTTTTAATTTTTGTAGTGACAGACAATTTTATAATGACATAAAGTCTGTGAATATTAATCATGTAAGGGAAGTGCTCAGCGGTCTTGCTGTTAGAGCTGAGGACAGGTCAGTGAGGGCACTCGGCTGCAGGAAGAGGCATTTCCTGCGGATGAGGGCGGTATAATTTTGAGATGAGGTCCTCCAGGAAGTCATAGAGTAATTAGTGGTTTTTTCAACCACTGGAGTCCTGATTTATGATCTCTAAGGGACAGCGTAAGTAAATAAATGAAACCCCGTCTCTACTAAAAATAAAAAAAATTAGCTGGGCCTGGTGGCAGGTGCCTGTAATCCCAGCCACTGGGGAGGCTGAGGCAGGAGAATCGCTTGAACCGGGAGGCAGAGGACGTGCATTGACACTCATTCTATGGCTCATTTGAAACCAGGTGTTTCCTTTTGTGCTAATCTTTATGGGTCCCAGCTGCCTTTTGTGTGAAGGCTGAAAACAGCGCCCCTTCGGCCTCAGGAGCTCTGTAAGTGGGGAGATGTTTTTGGCCCCTGAGAAGTTAGAGATTCCTTGAATTGGGATGTCTTCCCTTCCCCTGGCTTTCTGCAGGTTTTGTGTGGGGATGAGAGGTGACCTATCCCTGGACTCTAGAAATGCACATAACTCAAGAGGGTTTTCTTTTGTCAAGATATCCCCAGGGGCCAGGCACAGTGGCTCACGCTTGTAATCCCAGCCCTTTGGGAGGCCGAAGCGGGTGGATCATGAGGTCAGGAGTTTGAGACCAGCCTGGCCAACACAGTGAAACCCTCTCTCTACTAAAAATGCAAAAATTAGCTGGGCATGTAATCTCACGCATGTAATCTCAGCTACTTGGGAGGCTGAGGCAGTAGAATCGCTTGAACCAGGGAGGCAGAGGTTACAGTGAGTCGAGATCGTGCCACTGCACTCCAGCCTGGGTGACAGAGCTAGACTCTGTCTCAAAAAAAAAAAAAAAAGATTTCCTCAGGGCCTTTATGCTCCCCTCGAGCCTGTGACAGTCTGGGCCTCAGAGTCAGTGTAAAGTGCACTTAGGAAATCCCAATGTAAGTCCCCTCCTCTAGATTTTCTCTAAGTCCATTCTTAAAATTTCTAGAGCCCTCTACAATGAAACAGCACACAACTGTTAAATGTATATGACCTGTAGGAGGCACAGGTGTGGAACATAAGAACAGGGAAGTTTAAGAGCACGCCTCCTCTATGTGGTTTCAGTTTACCTAGAAAGATAAGGCTAGTCTCTGTTTGTATTTGAACCTGAAACCGGACAGGGCGGTCAGTGGCAGCAGCAGATGGGCTATGTGGACCGTTCGTGTATTGGAAGATCTCACTGTGGGCAGGTGGGGAGGAAGGCTTCCACTAAAGGGGAGATTTGATCTAGCTCCTGAAAGGTGGGAGACCTCAGACCAGAGGTCTCAGCCCTGTTAAGTCAATTGATTCACGTCGGAGGGTTTAAAATTACAATCCATGGCCTGCTCCCACCTCCCTTACAATCTGGTCCACTAGGCACAGGTGGGGCCTAGGTGTTTGTCAGTTAAAACCTTCCCCCAGTGATTCTGATGTGTAGCTAGACTTGGGCACCTCTCATTGAGAAGGTTGGAAATACAGTCCAAGTGTGGACTGACCGCTTCCTTTTCTGATGGTCACCACCAAAATAAGCATGGGCGAGAAAGCAGGCCAGGTGTCAGTCAGGAGTGAGTCTCCTGGAGTGCCAGCGAACACTGAGGAATGACTGAGGCGGGTTCCGCCCTTCAGCCGAGCTCCCAATAATTGTTTAGCAGATGCTTTGTGTCCATTATCTCTGGTTTTTGCAACGATCCTGTGAGCTACATTTAGTATTTATATATTTTAAAGTTGAGGACTTTGGAGCCTGTGAGTTTCAGTAGCTTGCTTAAAGCCACCTTGCCTTTAAGTGGTATACCTTGGTTTGGAATCCAAGTGTGTTAGATACAGAAACATACTTTTTTCCCATTGTATTCTGTCGTTTCCCATGGTCTCCATGTAAGAATTACCTGGTGGAGTGGGAAGTAGAAGAATCATGGGACCATATTGGGGAAGTGGGGGGTGGGCCTCCATGACACCCTCATAAACCGGAGCGCGATACAGGGAAGCTGGGAGACTCTGGACGAAAGGGAGAGTTGGAGAACTTGCGGAGACACAGAGCAGGAATTGGTCCTGGCTCACCTCTCTGAATTGGGTCTCTGCAATGGGCTAGTGCACACCCTGAGGGGCTGTCAGGATTAAGTGAAATGACGCTGGTGCTCAGTAAACCATAGCAGCAGCCGGGCGTGGTGGCTCCAGCCTGTAATCCCAGCACTTTGGGAGGCCGAGGCGGGTGGATCACGAGGTCGAGAGATCGAGACCATCCTGGTCAACATGGTGAAACCCCGTCTCTACTAAAAATACAAAAAATTAGCTGGGCATGGTGGCTCGTGCCTGTAATCCCAGCTACTCAGGAGGCTGAGGCAGGAGAATTGCCTGAACCCAGGAGGCGGAGGTTGCGGTGAGCCGAGATCGCGCCATTGCACTCCAGCCTGGGTAACAAGAGTGAAACTCCGTCTCAAAAAATAAAAAAAATAAAAAATAAATAAATAAACCATAGCAGCTGTACTTGTTTTCATTGACCCCACCTCTGTCTCCCTCCAGCCTTCTCACCGCAGCCTTTACAGCTTATTTCCCGTTGTCTCTTTCACCTGTCCTTTCATTCCCTTTCCTGCACTTTTTTACATAGAACCTAGGCCACAGCAGTAACCTTGTAGCTTTTTCTTGGTGTTTCCACTCTAAACTACAAGTCATTTTCCCTTAATTTTCAACTAGGCTCTGGTGTTTAAAAACCTTCAATTTACCCAGCTAAGTCCAATCTATTCTGGGACAGCAATCAACATCCTCTGAGTGTGCTCCCAGCCTTTCACTCTCTCTAATCTCAACTTTCATTATTTGCCCCTGAAAGCCACATTCCAGTCAGCAGACTAGTCTACTGGCCAGTTCCATTACCAATCAACACTGTGGATGCTCTTTCCTGGGTTTGGAAAGCCTTCAAAAATCCATCTTTCATGCCGGGCGCGGTGGCTCAAGCCTGTAATCCCAGCACTTTGGGAGGCCGAGGCGGGTGGATCACGAGGGCAAGAGATCGAGACCATCCTGGTCAACAAGGTGAAACCCCGTCTCTACTAAAAATACAAAATATTAGCTGGGCATGGTGCCTGTAATCCCAGCTACTCAGGAGGCTGAGACAGGAGAATTGCCTGAACCCAGGAGGCGGAGGTTGCGGTGAGCCGAGATCGCGCCATTGCACTCCAGCCTGGGTAACAAGAGCGAAACTCCATCTCAAAAAAAAAATCCATCTTTCAAAATCCCGCCTATTCTCCCCACCTCAGAGCCCCCAGAGCATTTTCTTGCTAACTTCTTTGTGAGGTTCTGTTCTGCCTCTGATGATTATATTTGTAAACTTGATTCAGTAGAGTATTGCCCTGAGGTCAGGGTCTTGCTGCCTTCATTTCTGTGTCACTGGCCCATCCTCGGTATTCAGAAATGTCTCCTGCAACAAAATGACTGCCTAACAATCTCCCTCTGCCTTTCCAGGCTAACAAGGAAAGCCCCTGGAGCTCCTGTAATAAGAATGTGGTTGGAAGGTGCAAACTGTGGATGATCGTCACCTCCATTTTCCTAGGTTTCATTATAGTGATCATCGTAGGCTTATGTCTTGCTGGAGGTAAGAGGATTTAGATGTGGATAAGTTGACACATTCTAAGAACTTAAGGCTTGTGATTTACACTGAAATGGAAGATGTTCTTATAGCCATTTCATTATTTATTACATGAATTTAAGACTGGGTTGGAATATATTATATGGATAGGAGATATGCCTGATTCTTGTATTTTTGTTGTTGTATTTTCTTGGTTTATAAGCTCCAGAAGTAGTATAGAAACCAGTGTTTTACTTTAAACCCTGCTCATTGGATGTTGTAGAGGTTTCTTAACATTTTAACTTCCTTAAACACTGATTTATATTTTATTATATCCTGATACCCATTAATTTGGATTTTTTTCTTATCATTTGTTTGCTAAAAATAATTATACTTCCTCTGGTATGTCTAGTATATTACCATAATGATAATAGATTTGAAAGAGTTTTAAAAAACTTTAAATAACCATGTGTCCATAAGCTGTCATTATTTTATTTATTTATTTATTTATTTTGAGAGAGAGTTTTACTCTGTCACATCCAGGCTGGAGTGCAGTGGCATGACCTCGGCTCACTGCAACCTCTGCCTCCCAGGTGGAAACAATTCTCGTGCCTCAGCCTTCGAAATAGCTAGAATTACAGTCATGCACCACCATGCCCAGCTAATTTTTGTATTTTCAGTAGAGATGGGGTTTTGCCGTGTTGTCCAGGCTGGTCTTGAACTCCTGACCTCAAGTGATCTGCCCGTCTTGGTCTTCCAAAGTGCTGGGATTAGAGGCATAAGCCACCATGTCCCAATTTTAACATATTTTAGAAATGACTGTTTATTTTTTTATTTTTTTATTATTTATTTATTTATTTATTTATTTTGAGACGGAGTTTCGCTCTTGTTACCCAGGCTGGAGTGCAATGGCGCGATCTCGGCTCACCGCAACCTCCACCTCCCGGGTTCAGGCAATTCTCCTGCCTCAGCCTCCTGAGTAGCTGGGATTACAGGCACGCGCCACCATGCCCAGCTAATTTTTTTTTTTGTATTTTTAATAGAGACGGGGTTTCACCATGTTGACCAGGATGGTCTCGATCTCTCGACCTCGTGATCCACCCGCCTCGGCCTCCCAAAGTGCTGGGATTACAGGCTTGAGCCACCGCGCCCGGCCAGAAATGACTGTTTATTATATTAGTGTTGTATGCGTGTATAAAACAAAAAAAGTACACAATGCTAACTATATATGACCACATCTATTACATATATTATTTTATTTTGTTGCTTATTTTGATTGAAAAATGATACGTGTTCAGTTACCCGTAAAACCCATCTATAGTATTAATATTTTATCATATTTTCTTCTAGTCTTTTGCTCACTTGCATTTCTAAAATAATTGGAGATTAGATTTCTTTATAGTCTTGTAGCCCACCTGTAGGATTTTGATGTTATGTTGAGATCATTTTGCCAAGTCATTAAAAATCCTTTGTGAACATTATTTTTTTAATGATTTCATGATATAGTCTTCCACATCATTTAAAGCCCTTTAGTAGTATTTGTTTTATTTGATTTTTTATTGATTAGTAGTATTTGTTAAAGTTTTTACAGTGCATAAACACAGCATCCTCCAGTGGACAATCACTTCAATTTCAAAATGAGAAAGAAGAAAATTGTTTTTATTGATATGTGGGAGTGATGGTAGAGAAAGGCTCATCTGAGGCTGGGAAACTCCTGAGCACCATCCAGCCTTCATGTGGACGTGGGTTGAGTCCATCTCTCAGTAACAAACCCAGTCATAGAATGAGCGCTCTCCAGTCTCTCCAGAGGGCGTTCTTAGGAATTGTCCTCAGAAACTACATTTTCCATTTACCTCTTGTTACCCCTTCTCTCAATCCTTTAATTTCCTGCCTTAGAGTTTTGTAGTTCCTAAAGGAATAGGAAAACTTTGATGACATCAGCCAACCTCCAGCACATGAGTTTCCTGGCCAGGCACCGTATCTATTTACTTCTTTAGGGCATTGTTTAGGTGTGATGGGTGACTCTTTGAGGCTGTAAGCTGATATTAAGGTGGGAGAAAGCTAATAAGGTGTCCTGTACCTTCTCCATCATGCTGAGGATAATAGTTTTGGCATGAGCATTACCATACTTCCTATTCATATCAATTCCAACACATGGATGTTGAAAATGAGGTTGAGTAGCACAATCTTGTCCTGACACAACTAGCTGGTGATGTCCTAGAAGTTGATATTTGGATCCTGTTGACATCTGGTGCCTATCATAAGGGATGAGACAAGAGATGTAGATGGTTTAATATTCAGGATTCTAAAGCACAAGTCCCAGGATCTGTCTTCCATTCTCAAAAAGTCATCTAACCTCTTCACCTCACAAAGAACAATCTGCAGAGGAAGGTATTTTACTTTCTTTCACAGTTTTTTCTGGAGATATGAAAGGTTATGCGATAATATTCAGGGAAGAATTTTTTAACACTTTTAATGCAAACTTTATTTCTAATTTAATTGTAAATTTGTGTTCTAACATGTCAATGCTGTAAGATTTTTCAAACTACTTTTTTTTTTTTTTTTTTGAGACGGAGTTTCGCCCTTGTTACCCAGGCTGGAGTGCAATGGCGCGATCTCGGCTCACCGCAACCTCCGCCTCCTGGGCTCAGGCAATTCTCCTGCCTCAGCCTCCTGAGTAGCTGGGATTACAGGCACGCGCCACCATGCCCAACTAATTTTTTGTATTTTTAGGTAGAGACGGGGTTTCACCATGTTGACCAGGATGGTCTCGATCTCTCGACCTCGTGATCCACCCGCCTCGGCCTCCCAAAGTGCTGGGATTACAGGCTTGAGCCACCACGCCCGGCTAAACTACTTTTTTAATCAAGGAAATACTTTTATTTTACTTGGCATCTCAGCTCTTAGGTATTCAAGCCTGCAGGGAGAGTCATGTGACACGTGGGGGTGGAGGAGCTGTAATAGGTAAAGAGGAGCGGGGCAGGGGCTCCTTTCTGTGACAGTCCCAGCCTTGTGCCCAGCTCTGTAGGCATGTTGGGCAAGACGATCTGCAATAATCGGCCACTTCCTGATTGCCAAGCCCAGTTAATATGGATCAAATATTTATGGAACTTTCAAGAACTGTGTGGGAAATGAAATGCTGTCTGTGGAAAAAATACTGTTGGGAGAGTAAAGGGCTTTGCCTGTGGCTGTCTGGATTTCCTGGGAGACTGAGATTCCACAGGAACTACATTTGCCATCTGTGGCCTGCTTACCCTTCTCTAAACCCATTAATCTCCTGTCTCAAGGCCTTTTAGTCTTCAGACTGAAGCTTGAAGGCAGAAGTGTTAACTGTTGCTCTTCAGTAGGCAGGTCTTTGCAAAACTACCCAGAAAGGCTGAGGAAGCTGAGAGGCAAAACAAACAAACAAACAAACAAAAAAAAACAAAAAACAAAAAACCAGCAACTGACAAATCCATTCATTACTCAGAAACATTTAACAGGGTTTTATGAACAGAAGCCATGACTTGGGCAGCAGTGAGACGAGACCTTGCATTCCTGCACCATTACCCCAAAGGCCCAGGGCTTAAATACCACAGAGAAAGAGTATGCATTCTTCAGAAGGGATGTGTTGGACAATTTCGTAAGGGCAGGATTTATGGCATGTAGATAACGTCAAGATTGTTTTGACCTGCCAGTGAGATTTATGGTAAGTATGTGCTCTCATACAAGGAACAGTAGATGAAATAGAAATCTTAGAGGCATTTCCAGAACTGGGATTAATCAGAAGTTAACATGGTGAATTAACAACTAAGATGGAATTTATTTTTAAAAAAATTTTTTAGCTTTATTTCATTTTTAATGGACAAATAATATTGTATATATTTATGAGGTACAAAGTGATATTTCCATACATGAATACATTGTGAAATGATCAAATCAGAGTAACTAGCATATTCATTACCTCAAATCTTTATCATTTCTTTGTGGTGAGAACATTTAAAATCCTCTCTTCCACCTATTTTGAAATATATAACACATTATTATTAACTGTAGTCACCCTGCCATGCAACAGATCACAGAACTTATTCCTCTTGTCTGAAACTTTGTACCCATTGACTGATGTCCCCTTTTTCCCTGTTCAGCCCCCTCCCACCCCAGCTTCTGGCAACCACCATTCTACTTTCTACTTCTATGAGTTTCACTTCTTAACATTTCACATGTAAGTGAGATAATGCAATGTTAGTCTCTCTGTGCCTGTGCCTGGCTTATTTCACTTAGCATGTTTTCTAGTTTCATCCATATTGTTGCAAATGACAGAATTCCTTTTTTTTTTTTAAGCTAAATAGTATTCTATTGTGTTTCTTTGGCCTATATAGTTGTGCAGTGGGGTGGATACAAAATGGGACGGTGAAAGCATCTCAGAACAGAAAGTTGGGGAGGGCAGGGTGTCTAGTGGGGAGTTGTATTTTGTCACTCAAATTAAGAATTGTCAGCATGTGGCGATGATAAAAGCAGATCAACTTGCAGTAGGTTTTATTATTGCTACTTGTTCTCTACAGACTGTGCAACCTTTATTGCCTGTACCTGGGGTGGGCTTGCCCACTACTCTAATCTTATATGCCATTGAAGTAATGACAAATTCAGGATCATGGCTTAGCTTAAGACACTGAATAGGGGCTTTGTATGCACTAGAGGGAAAAAAGGCTAGTCATACACCTGACTCACAATTGACATGGACATTTTTTAATGTCCAATTTTATGGGCAGAGCCCAGGGAATTCTGTTGAGACTCTTTAGGAAAAGGTATTAATGGATTCTTTCCTTCTCCATAAGGCATTATAAATTGCTTGATTTGAAAGATACATAAATAAAAGCCTTCATCTTTTTCTCAGTCATTTTCTCTCTGGATAATTTGGAGAACCAGTTGAGTATTATCAAGCATTTTCCTTTCTTCACTAATTCACCCTAGTAATGGGGGGTCGAGACCCTGAATAACACTTTACTAAGGAAGTTTTGGTTGGGGCAAAATATTTTAAATGTTGCAAA